TAATACTCCTATTATATGTTTCGAAACCTAAAATATTTTTTTGAAGAAGGTATAGTCAAAAAACGAAGAAAAAACAAACAATTTTGTTTTTTTTAATTCTGTTGTAGATATAGGTATTGCTCGGGTATTGCTTTGCACAAAACGAAGTTGACATCACACTCTTCTAGATGTTGTTTGGTGGAAGTACGATTTAATTGTAATTTTGCCATAGAATCCAAGTTATTCTCATTCTAATATTTCACAAATACAGGATGTTTATGATATATATTATATGAAATATATAGAAGGATATATTAAATGGATGAACTCTCTGAGTGGCATAGCTATCTTTGTCTGTCACACGCTCGCGATCCATCAAACTAATATAGGTGGAACAACAGAGTACACAAGCATGCAATACATTCGCAGAATGCAACGGCATAGTGATGGTCACAAAATTAAATAGATTGAGGAATCTTATAAGTGCTTTAACATTGTTTCTCAGAATTAAAATTTTAGCATGCATATTAAAATTATGGATTGTCCTTCTATGGATAAATTATATTTATTTAAACTCGTTTCATGTTTCCTGTATTTTAGAGTAAATACATACATATTATTATTAGATTATATCGTAAGTTATTTTGTATTTTTTTGTCTTACTGTCTCTAAAAATCCATACGTTTGTCGGATAATAAAATATATTATTGGTTCTAACGCATCATTTGGTTTTCTTGTTCGACATCTATACGAAAATGCAGCATGAAATTTGTCGAACACTGTTACCGTTTGATCATATGAGTAATTACTAAACAACTGTTTAAAACTTTTCAGGGTGACCCAACAAAAAGGTCGCACCCCCCATTTATGACGCTCTTGGTATATTTTGGGAAACACGCTCTGACACATCAGTTTTGATTTCTAAGGGGACGTCTTTTCATCTATAGCCGTACAAAACAGGGTGATTCATAAATAAGATATTGCGTTACACTTCAGATTTTTAAATGGAAACCTCCATTTTTTAATTTATTAACGATAAGTAGTGACTAAGTTGATGCGAAAATTTGAAGAAACTGTATGTGTATCTAATATTCGACGTAATCGCAATCGAGAAAATAGACCAGCTAGAAATGAAGCCGCAGAAATAGCAGTTTTGGGATACGTACCACTTGACAACACCCAAAGCACTCGTGGACTGGCTACTTCTTCAGGATTTACACGCTCAACAGTACAAAGAATTTTGAAAGACGATAAATTTCACCCGTACAAGATAAAACTTGTCCATAAGCTTAATGAAGACGATTGTGATAGATGGTTGGAGTTTTACGAATTAATGTCCCAACGATTAATCAACAATGCAAATCTTTTATTTATTAATTGTTTCTCGGATGAGTGAACGTCCTATTTATATGGTGCTGTAATGGACACAATTTTCGATATTGGAATGACTCGAATCCACATTTATTTCTAGAGGTACACTCGCAATATCCTAAAAAAATAGACGTGTGGGCCGGCATTTTCGGAAATCCGAAATAATAGAAAATTTGGGGGCAGTAAAATTTTTAGTGTGAAGCCCGATTCCTTTCAAGCTCTGTAGACAAATAACTCAAGTCATACTTGAAAATGTGAGGAATAGATTCGAAAAAACTCTTTATTATTGCATGGAGGCAAATGTACACCACTTTCAGCACTTATTTCCACATTGACCTGTCTCTTTATAGCAAATTAATTTTTACTTTAACATTAATGTGCGTGTAAACTGTAAGTCGTTTTCTGTTTTTTAATACTCGGAGACTTGTTTTTAATTTTAAAGTCTTGTTACTATGGGAACTATATTGATTATTATTATGCTTACGTTATAATTCCTTATTATCACAATTTCTAGGTTTTAATTATAAATTCAAATAGCTTCACAATGATTGAAAATAGGTATAAATTTTGTTATATGAAAGTTAATAAAAACTTTATGGAAAATGTAGAAATAAAAAAAATGGGGGTTTCCATTTAAAAATCTAAAGTGTAACGCAATATCTGATTTTTGGATCACCCTGTGTTGATCGGCTATAGGTGGAAAGACGTCCTCCTAAATATCAAAATTGATGAGTCCGAGCGTTTTTCCCAAAATATACCAGGAGAGTCACAAATGGGGGTGCGACATAGCACCAGAATATTGAAAACAAGTGCAAGTTTTTGCTTTTTGAATAAAAAAACTGATTCTCCGCATTTTTCAACATAAAAAAGCTCTCGTGTGTGTTTTCGTTATAGTTAGCCGTTTTTGAGGTTATTCGATTTTTAAGGTTCGATGCATTTTTAATTATTTATGGGGAAATAATATTTCTTTTTACATTTTCGATTTGGGCATTACAAGTAATTAAGATGATCGTTTAGATTGTGTTTTTAAACACAGCAATAATTCCTAACTCCAAATAAACACAAAAAACAGAATATTAATTTGTTTAATTTTCCAATATTATTTTTTACAACTTAAATTAATTATTTACAACTAAAATGCTATTGGATAGTTAGCACAAACATACAAAATCTAAAATAGTTGCTCGAAATGTAAACCCAATTGTTCAATGCACAATTCACACCTACGAATGATCGAACGTAGTATATCATTATTCAAATAAGGCCTTATTTCATCACATGCATTCCTGATTCTGTCTATTAGCATATCTCTTGTGGTTACGGGAGTCTGGTACACTTTTTCTTTTAGAAATCCCCGCACAAAGAAATCTAATGGATTTAGGTCAGGGGACAGTGGAGGCCAGGCGACTGGTCCTCCACGGCCGATCCATCTTTCTGGATAATTTTCGTCCAGCCAGTTTCTAACTATTCTCGAATAATGAGCTGGACAACCATCAAGCTGGAACCAGGCCAATCTTCTTAAATCTAACATAACATCATCCCACATATTTGCATGTTCGGCCTTTAAAAATTCCAAGAAGGTCGCAGCATTTAACCTTGCAGCAAAAGGTAGGGTCCAAATAGTCGATTACGGTAGTTACCAATCCACACGTTCACACTAAATTCATGCTGAACATTTCTTTCCCGAACTGCATGCGACCAAATATGTTGATTATGAAAATTTACCACTCTACGTCTAGTGAAGCATGACTCATCGGTCCATAAAACGTTACTTAAAAGCTCCCTATTATTATCAGTTCTATCAAGAATCCACTGACAAAATGTGATTCTTCGTTCTCCGTCCCCTGGCTGTAGTCCTTGCACAGGTTGCAAATGGTAAGGACGTCTATGGTCATTTCTAAGAACATGGTGAACATGCCTTGCTGAAATTCCCAAGGCACCAGAAACTCTCATAACACTTGTGGTCGGATCTCTATCAAACTCACGCAGAATCATACGGGTAAATCTGCGCTGACGAACATTTTTGTTTTGATCCCTTTGGATATTTCCAAAACCATCTTCAATTATATGGCGATGCACTCTTACAAATACTGAGTGAGTTGGATGTCGCCTGTTTGGAAATCTTCGTGCGTATTCTGTGGCTGCTTCTGCTGCGTTTCCATTTACAAAGCCATACTAAAAATGAATATCCGCTAACTCTTGATTGGAGAATAAAAATGGCATTTTTATAAAACTTACAAAAAAAACAGGTGAAAGAAACTTAATTTCGTGCATTCACAATTGCAAAAAAACGTTTCAGGTTTCAACAGACAACAAAACTAACTGTCAACTAATTGACGTTTAACCTTATTCTGCTTTCAATTTCAAAAATATTTGCAGGCACAGCCTACTTTTAAAAATTATCGAGATACTGACTTTTTAACGTTATTTTATCATAAATGATTAAAAATGCATCGAACCTTCAAAATCTAAATATCTCAAAAACGACTAACTATAACGAAAATTCACAAGAGAGCTTTTTTATGTTGAAAAGTGCGAAGAATCAGGTTTTTTATTCAAAAAGCAAAAAATTGCACTAAGAAAAATTTTTCGGTCATTTTAATACACTACATGTACAGTAGAGAGCGCCCTCTAGCGGCTACAGTAAAACTATGCCCATGGTTCGTTTTGTCGTACCAAAAAACCCTTGTATACCAATTTTCACTGTTATACATCAAATATTGTTCGAAATATTTAAAAAAACTATATTAGAAAGTAAATTTAAACACCCTGTATTTCGGAAGCCACGCATTTTCCGACCCATGTTTATATAGACTTTATGCATTAATTTTAAAAGTTCTATCGAATCTTAAAGTTATGCAACAATAAACTGAAACACCCTGTATACTGGAGGTTTCAGATGTGAGTATCAAAGAGAATTTGTTTAACTTGCTTTTTGAAATTATTGAAATCAAGATGTTTAGCAGTCGATGCTAATGCATTATTAGATTATAGAAAGAGCTATCAGTTTATTTTAAAAAAATGAAGGAATCGAAGTACGTAGAGGTTTGTGAACATAGCATAATAAATGAAGCTTATACAATTTTGCATCATTCAACCAGTTCAGCTGTTCAAACATGCACTAATATGATCATATTTTCTTAAGTTGAAAATCAGTCTACATGAATTTTGAATTTTTTGTAGACTTTTAGCTGAAACTGAATATAGAAAATGGATAAAGCACGATATGTGATTTTTTTATTATCAAAGGTTCACATAAATTTTTTTTTGTATCTAAAATCAAGTATTTCTGTATTTAAGTACAGATGCCGTAAAACAGTAAAACAATGTTTAGTTACATGATTTACATGATAAATAAATTTGAGATTATCATCTATAAACAATAAGACAAAAATTCGACGGATTTCAGAATTTCCCACTCGAAAAAAAAATAGAATAAAAAGTTTGTCGAACTCGACAAAAGGGAGCTGTATGCAAGGTTTCAAGTATATTAGATTAATCATTCAATAAAATGGGTTATTTATTCTGGACTACTGCAGTTAAAGATGGCTCAACGAATGGTGCAAGATATGTTTGATCATAAACTCTGATAAGTAGTGAAACAGGTGGTACAAACAGGCGAGAAGCTATAACTACATCTCTTGTTTCAGCCAAACTTACGTCAGGCAGTCCAAGTAGCCAAGATGACAAAACCCTAAGTCCTTCACAATTGGGTGCACTAGAGGTCTGGACTAGAATTAACGTAGACAGTGTTGCATTAACGCAATGGAACAAGAATCTCAGAACGGTAGGGGCTTTATACGGATTTCTGCCTGCGCGGTTCTGGATTTTGCTGGGGTTGTGCAGTGCCAATGATGGCGCAGTCTCGGCGGAGTTCAGTGCTGTTCGGGCCGTGCTTGGAACACACTTATAGAGTAGCGAGAAAAACATATCAAGTGTCACCTGGAAGTAAAAGTATTGACGACCTCATTCTCAAGATGGCCAACCAAATGTATTTTAAAATTCACCTGCAATTTCCTTCACTACGGCCATATTGCCATATAGAATCACAGTAATAGGTGCTGACACTTTTTTTAGGTAGGACTTGAATAGTTATTTGTTCTATTAAACCATAGAGAAAAAATAATACTACAGTGGAATCCAGTTATAATGAACTTGCTTATAATGGAAACCCGTATATAATGGACACAATATATATTTGAATTAAAGTTTCAAGGTCGTTTAGGGCTGAAATAATATAGTCCTTATTAATTTTTGGTCTAATACACCTAGAACAAATATTAACTGTTTAAGAACTACTTTAAAAAGTGTCAATTAGCCTATTAAATAAAAACATTGATGGGACCATTCCTTCATGGTCTTTCAATAATTTATTGACATTTTTCCCAAATGAATAACATTTTTGCAACTTTCTCATTATTTGATCACTATTACCGTTTCAGTGGCTCTCACAAACGATAATCGAACGACTCGTGGGCGAATTCGATCTTATAAATGAGTCCTTAGATAAGCACGGCTTGTCTGACATCAAAATTGGCAGAGTTGGCTTAGAAAGACTCCGAAAAACGGCACAAATGGTGCCTGTTTCGCAATATATCCCGTCACTTGGTACTTTACTACCATTCCTTGAAGTGACAACTAATCAAGAGTACTTAGTGAAGAGGATACGAGAATTGGCCAAAGGGGGGTGTATGAGCGAATTCAAGTGGAACGGGGGTGGCAGCTACAATGAAAAACCCTGGAACGAATCGTTACCAACAGATTGTAAGGTAGGGGTTTCTAATTCTGGATATGCTAATCTTTCCAAATTCCTTTTCGATTTTAGTTTGAGTTTTAATTAGGTTAATAATAGCATTTCAATCTAGAATTGTTTTTTGGGATTTTTCCATTATTATTATTGTACCGAGCTTTATCTTGCATAAATCGATGACAGCGTTGCGTGGAAATGCAGGGTGAACCTACTTGATGCCATTTAAGTTCACGGATGTGACCTGAGAGCTATTTGCCTAATTTCAGCTGTATTCCGCTGACGAAGATTTTGAGTGGAATCTGGCTTCGTATTAAAAACTTTTTTTTCATATGCCCCCAAAGAAAGTAATCTAAAGGACTTAGGTTTGGAGATCTTGGCGACCACTCGATGGGGCCTCGTCTGCCGATCCACTGATTCGGGAAATGGCTGTCCAAAAACTGCCGTAATGGAGCCACATACAATGTAATTCTCATTAAAATTAACGTAATTTTCTATTATTTCGGTGATTCGAAGCTCTATTGTATTTTTTAACATGTCCAAGTACGTCTCGCCCGTCAAGTTTCCAGGTCCTACAATTTGACTTCCGAAAATGTCGGCCCACACATTTATTTTTTCAGGATATTACGAGTGTACCTCTCGAAACAAATGTGGATTCAAGTCACTCCAATATCGACAATTATTTCTATTTACAGCACCATTTAAATAGAACGTACACTCATCGGAGAAACAAATATTAAATAACAGATTTGCATTGTTGATTAAACGTTGGGACGTTAATTCGCAAAACTCCCAACCTCTCTTATACAGGTGAAATTTGGCTTTCAAAATTCTTTGTACTGTTGATGTTGAGCGTGTAAATCCTGAAGAAGTAGTCAGTCCACGAGTGCTATAGGTGTTGTCAAGCGCTACGTGTCCCAAAACTGCTATTTCGGCGGCTTCGTTTCTAACTGATCGATTGTCTCGATGGCGATTACGGCGAATATTAGACACAGATCCAGTTTTTTCAAATGTTCTTATCAACTTGGCCACATCGGTATCATTAGTATTTTTGTTTGGATGTAACACATTAAACAACCGGGCAGTAGCTCTTGCAATGCATTGTGGTAATACAGTTTTGTTATTTCTACCCTTTCTTGAATTGAATAAGTTCAATATTTATCGCAACTCGGTAGGTAACTTAACAATTTGAAATGAACAAGTTTTTTTATGACATATGATGACACTGATTGATGCTGACTGTTCTTGCTGGTATCCATGATTATCATTTTTGCCGTGCATTCCATTATTAAGTATTAAGTTAGTCGAATTTTATTATTTATTTATAACTCAAATAGCTTCAGAATGATTAAATATAGGTAGAAATTTTATTATATAAAAGTTAGTAAAAACTTCATGGAAAATCTAAAAATGGGGGTTACCATTTAAAAATCTAAAGTGTAACGTAATACCTCATTTCTGGATCACCCTGTATTGTAGGGCTATAGATATATATAGAAATCAAAATTGACGTGTAACCCGCGTTTTTCCCAAAATATACCACGAGAGTCACAAATGGGTCTCAACGTTTTCATTGTACCGCCCTGTATACATTCAACAAATTGTTTGATTTTATGATTGCATCTGCACCTGGTAAATGTCTTTACTCACAGGGCATTTTCACACTCACCCTACTTATGTAAGGCTGGGTGTTAACGGTCATTTGATCGAGGATTTGTCCTTTTTGCCAAAAATATTGTGTGTATTTTCTATAATACAATAAGTATAATGTTTTTTTTTTGTTTTTGTTTTTTGGCAAATAAATGTATTTTGAATTTGAATTTAATATGCTCACGAATTTTTTTTTTAAATCGTATGACGAATATTTGGTCACAGGGTTTAGAAAGTTGAAGATTAAGATTTGATTGTTGATTGAAGCATTTAGATTTTTATGCAAACTAAAAAAGCTTTAGAGTAATTTGTTCCCTGTAGATTTTAAAAAAGTAAGGCAGGCGTTTGTTATAAAAGTCTCCGATGTCCGACGACTTGGGTGTCCAAGGAATACGTAGCAAACTCGGATCTCTTTCCTCCTGGGGGTCAATTCTTGAAAACAAAGAAGTAGAATAACCAGTATCGTGAGACTTCCGCACTTTTTCTCCTAAGAGTGAGACGAGTAGCGAGAATTCCATCTGTCTCAAAGAATAAAGCTTCCTAAAACGTAATAAAACCACATATCATTTATTTTACTGCCTTTGGATATTGGAGTGGAAGTACTGTGGTACCATTATTTTGAATCTTAAAACTTGAAGGGCAGTTTGGCATCATGTTTTTAATTTTTCACTAGAGAAAGAAGAAACCCCCTGCTGCAGGTGTCTCTATCTTTATAGTCCCCTGAATCCTTCACTGACAACTATGTAGAAAACATTTTTTCCATTTAATACCTATCATTATACAGGGTGTCCCAATGTTCCGTCAACATAGAAGTTTTTAGACTCAAAATAAGTCGTTAAGACATGATTTACCTCTATGCAAAAGTGGGTCGTTTTTCCGTTAGAAGGCGTCAAAGTTTTCTTGTTAAAACACATTTTTGCAGATGTTTCTAGAACCGACCTTCCGATTTGAATGAAATTTGGAACACATGTGTTTTGCTAGACGTCGTAATAATTTACTTTTACGAAAAACTCTAAAGGGTTCAAGAATGGTGAAAACTATCCCCACCCCTACATCGAAGGTGTTTTCAAAGTTGATTCATTTATTTTAACAGCTTGTGGAACTCGTTGATGTGCCACAAATCACCTACAAAAGTCACATAATAAGAGAGTTAGCTTATATTAAAAATTATTTAAAAAAATCATTATCAAGTTAAATAGATACCGTTTTTACAAAAACTGTTCAAAATTGTCCCCATTTGTTCCATTAACGCAAAATTTTGCTCGGCGAATCCACGACTCTTTCAAATAGCCCCACAGAAAAAATCACAAGGCGTTAAATCCGGGGAGCGAGCAGGCCAAGAACTGGGTCTATTGCGTCCTATCAATCTATTCGGAAACTTATTATTTAGGTGTTCTCGTTTAAAATGTGGTGGAGCTCCATCATGTAGGAACCACATATTCTGCTTCACATTTAGAGGGACATCTAATAATTGTGGCAGATTGTGTCGAAGAAAATCTAAATAAATTTCTCCGGTCAGTTGAAGTAGAAAAAAGTTGGGTCCAATGAGCATACCATTTACCACGCCAGTCCAAACATTTAATGAAAACTATGTTGAAAATGAGTTCTTTTTACAGCATACGGATTTTCTACTGCCCAAACATTATTGTTGTGGAAACTGTGCACTCCATCTCGTGTAAATGTGGCCTCGTCTAAATAAAAGCTATCGGTGTTTTTGTAGCAGTAAAATATTAGGACGTCTAGCAAAACACATGTGTTCCAAATTTCATTCAAATCGGATCATCGCTTCCAAAAATATCAAACTTTGACGCCCTCTAACGGACAAACGAAGCACTTTTGCATACAGGTAAATCATGTCCAATCGACTAAATTAAAAATACCTGGTACGTCTATGTCCAGGGAATATTGGGACACCATGTAGTTTTAGAACATTGTACATCTCAAATTCCGTAAAATTCCAGATTGTGATGCACTTGCTAGCAACATATTTGGATACCCAACTGATGCCATTACCGAATATGCCTGACACAAAGGCGTTTAGTGGACACTACTACATCAAAATGACAGATACAATGCCACAGTTGAAACCTAATAGTCTTTTTATACAAGAAGTGTCTGAAAAACTGCCGCATTATAGAGTGGTAGTCGGGGAAAAGGTATATGAGATGGTAAAGGTAAGTAGTATATGTGACATTTTGTGCAGTAGTATCTTCAATGTATTTCAGTTCAAAATTCCTTCAATTAATAAAATTGTATACAACAATTACAATTAATCCATTGTAACAAAACTGCTCAGGATTCCACCATGCAGCTAAAAGAAGACTGCTTAAAATGTGGTGAGATAGCCATCAGTCTGAATCCTGTGAAACACCAAAAAATGAGGTGAATGCAAGGAATCAAATCTGAGGTATAATAGAAATTTTGCCACAAGCCACTCACCGTTCAACAAAATATGTAGAATAATACAAACGGAATATGAAAATTAAAAAAATAAAGCTTATTATGGAGATAGATCATAGCAATTACAAACAAAACAAGCTGTGAACTACACATTATGTGTGAAAGGTTCCCGAACTGAATTTCTGTATTCGATACAAGCAGCATGATCTCTCGAACAACCCCGGAACTGTGTAGCGCGTTGTCCGAAGTGTGTGTGTGCCAAATTTCACCGCGATTGGTCACTCCAGTCTCGAGTTATATTCGGCCGTGTAAACTGTGTCCATGTGACCTTGTGCACATCCGCGACATGGAACGAAGAAGTGCGATAAAGTTTTGCGTTTGTCTGAAAACAATTGTAACGAGCGACGGAAGCTGGTGTTTCATGTTGATCCTCAAACAAAACGTCAATCCGCTGCTTGGTTGAATCCAGGTGTGCAAAGGCCATCGAAAGTCAGGCAACAAAAGTCGAAAGTGAAAACATTCTTGGTCGCATTTTTTTTTTCAAAGGGCCTGATTCACCATGAATTCGTTCCGACTGGGCAAACTGTAAATTCTACGTTCTATTTGGAGGTTAATACGCCGTTACTACGCGACTAATCAAATCACCGTTTCATGCCACTCGCTCTATTCACCTGATCTGGTACCGGCCGACTTTTTTTTTCTTCTCCAAGCTGAAACTGAAGATGAAGGGACGTTTTTTAAAGACGTTTTAGCTATCCAGAAGATTGGCACCGAGGAGCTGAAAGCGATTTCAGAAAATGTATTACTGGAGAAAGTTCCTAAGTAGAAGGCCGATGTGAATAAATTCGTTTATCTTTTAATTTGTATTTTTTATGAATTTAGTTCGGGAACTTTTCGGACATACTGTGTAGATATACCACTTATAGATTCAAGGGTTTTTATCACATAGAGATGAGGTTTTAAATTTCTTGGTGTTAGAGAAACCATTAATACTTTGTTTATATAACAGAATATATTGAGGAGGGAGAGATCGATATCAATGGTACATCAATCTGGAAAAAAATTACAATCCTATATTTACTAACGATCTCCAAGTGGAAGTGTCAATCGATTTATTAAAAGTATATGTGAAAAACATTCTTACAGGAATTGCACAAATGTACATTTAGGAGACTTCGATATAAATTTTGATAGTAAAGATTTCTGTGTTAGAAAATTTAAACAAGTACCAAACTTCCATGGATTATGGCAGAAAATAAATGACTATACAAGAATTACGAACTTTTCGAAAATAAACATAGATTTGCTCATAACTAATGAACAAAATCTAATTGCTGAAGCTAAGCATACCTCAAAAATAAGTGATTACTCATGGATATATATTTCGAATTTCAATGAAAATAAAATGAATGAATTAGTAAGTAATTAATTTCACAAAGTTGCGAGAAATACTTTTACAACAGAATATACCCGAAATTATCAACAATGCCGACAACTACTTCAAAAAAATTATGGGTAGATATATGAGTGAAGCTATGATCAAGAAAGTAGTATACGAAAGAGTGAACTCAACATCCTCGTTTTCACAGATATTCAAGGAGTCTAAATTAAAACGCGATGACGACTACAGAACATTTTTAGTAACGCAAAGTGAAATGATGAAAACATTGAAGAATATTGTTTGTAGAAATAGAAAGACTGAATTATCTAAAATGGATTTCGAAGATGGGGTAGTGACAGAAAAAAGTATTATAGCAGAAATAATGAACACTTATTTTATAGATAGTGCAAAACAAATAGTGAAGACGATTTATGACGATGATCCAAACTTATTTTCATTACAAGTATGGGGTTGTCCAAAACGGACGCAGGAAAGTAAACGCATATTAAAACAAGAAAGATTGATATTCAAATCAAGTTGGGTACTTTATTTTGAAGGTTCATTTATACCATTTATGTATGAAAAATAATATCGCTCAAATGTTCACCACGACTGGATTTACAGTCGTCCACGCGATGGTCGAAATTTTCAAGGACATTTTGCAACATGGTCGGTTCTATGGCATTTATCTCGGCAATGATGTTGTTTTTGAGTTCTTGGAGGGTGGCTGGTTTGTTGACGTAGACTTTGCTTTTCAAATATCCCCATAAAAAGAAGTCCAAGGGAGTCAAATCGCAGGATCTTGGTGGCCATGGCACATTTCCTCTGCGCGAAATCACGCAATCACCGAAGGACTGCAATCGATGGATATTGACGTTGGTTGTGTGGTATGTTGCACCGTCTCTATCATCACGTGATATCACTCAGAATTGACGGTAACGGCGTCCCCGGCCGCATTTTCGAAAAAGTAAGGTCCGATTATGCCTTTTGACCACAATGCACACCACACAGTCACTTTTTGAGGATGCATCGGCTGCTCTTAATACTCACGGGGATTTTCGTTCACCCAGATGCGGCAGTTTTGCTTGTTTACCGTCCCATTCAAAGTGAAATGCGCTTCGTCGCTGAACATGATTTTTGATGAAAAATTGGCATCAATTTGGCGGTGTTCAAGGAACCAATCTGAGAACGTTCGGCGCGAAAAATGGTCGGCCCGACGCAGCTCTTGAGTCAATTGGATCTTGTAGGCGTGTACATTCAAATCCTTGTGGAGAATGCGGAGCAAACTGGTTCTCGAAATGGCCAATTCTTGGGATCGACGCGTTGTTGATTGTTTCGGATCGTCTCTCACACTCTCTTTCTCAACAGCAATATTTTCCGGTGTGCGAACGCTCCTTGGCCGGCCAGAGCCTGGCAGATTTGCCACAGAACCTGTTGCCTCGAATTTACGCACCAGACGACCGATGGTTGTTTCGTTTGGGCGGTTGTTGCGACCGAAATGTTCACGAAGCGCGCGAAACGTGTTTTTTATTTTTGCACCATTTTTGTAGTGCTCTTGAATAACTTTAATGCGGTCTTCAATCGAATACGACTCCATAGCGATCAATGGTAAACATTCAACTAACAAAATGACATGTCGGTGACAGAAAACAAAGATGGCGTCTATGTCAAATTGACGTTTACTTTCCTGCGTCCCTATTGGACAACCCTGTATATCACAATTCATCAATTAATCAGTTTAGGACAATTAACATCAACATTCCAACAGAATCCATCTCAGAATTGAAATCTAATAAAAATCCAAGTGATAATCTCTCGGAAATGATTCTTAATGATTCTTTCAATAACATTGGAGAGAAATTATTATTATTATTATTGGTGAATCATTGGTGAATTCCCATCAAAATTGAAGTGTTCCACCATTACTCCCGTGCCAAAAGTTCAACATTCTGAGCTATATACAAATATGAGCCCGATTAATGTCTTGTCAGATGTCGAGAAGCTGTTCGAAGAGATAATATACAAACAAATCATTAAAGAAAACAAAATTTCTACAAAAAATCAAGCTGAATTTAAAAAAAATATTCTACAGAAACAGCAATCCAAATGATGGTGTATTGTAACAGTATTTTGAGACTTCAAAAGGGCATTATTTGAGACAATAGATAGGGAAACATTGTTAATGAAATTGCATCACTATGGTTTTAAAGGATCAGTATTAAACATTTTATAAAATTATTTAGTAAAAGAAGTAAAATAACTAAAGTTGGAAATATTATGTCAAGCGTTCAAAATATATCAGTAGGGGTGCCACGCGGGAGTAAATTAGGGCCGTTACTATTTATTATTTATATAAATGATTTGACATTTTAGAATACTGCGTAGTTCAAATATTTGCGGACGATGTATATACATATATATAACACAAACATTTGGATACTGCTTTAGAACTGCTAAATTGTGATATTAAAATAATTATGAATTGGTTAAATGTTAATAAACTCAAATTAAACAATAATAAAACAAAATGTATGTCAACAGGGAAACATTTAGGTGACAATACAGTCAGGCGCATGATTAATGATGAAAAATTGAAGTAGTCGAATCATTTAAATATCTGGGTATATATGTGGGTAGTAAACTACTGTTTCACGAGCATTATGAATACATTATTTCAAAAATATCAATAAAGATAAATTACTTCTATAGTTTCCCAAAATCTTAGTATGTATTCCAAAAAAAAATGTGTATAACACTATAATATACTAAGTGACATATAAATCCGAACACCCAGTTTAAATGGTTTTATTTTAATAAAATTTTGTATAAGTACTTATTGAAGCATAATAAGTAAATGAAACAAATTTCAAAATGATTGCACTGCTTCAAAGCCCTTTGACCTTTAATAATGTGTGGATGCACCCTGATGAGCTACGCATTCTCCAACGCGCCTAGGCATGCTTCTGATCAGGTGGTCAATGTCCTCCCGTGGTATCTCATTCCAGGCAACCACCAACTCCTCTTGAAGTGCTTCTAGAGTCTGAGGAGGACGTTGCAAATTGAGCAATCTCCTACCCATCATATCCCACACGTGCTCAATTGGGGATAAGTCGGGAGATCTTGGTGGCCATGGTAACAATGTGACATCATTATGTTGAAAGAAGTCTATTGCGACTCTTGCAACATGTGGTCGGGCATTATCTTGTTGGAATGTTGGATCTGCCAGGGTGTCAAGATCGGGTAAAAGATGGGGTTCTAGAACTTCGTGGATATAACGCTGCGCGTTCATGTTACCTCTGATGAAGATTAAAGGTGACCTGGAACCATAAGCTATAGCACCCCAAACCATAACTCCAACAGTGTGATGAACATGTCTTTCAACAAAAAACTGTGGATTCCTCCTTTCACCACGTCGCCTTCTACCGAGGCACGACCATCGTGCATGCCTAAACAAAATCGAGACTCGTCACTAAAGACAATACTGTTCCATTCCTAATCCCAGAGTGACCGTTGTCTGCACCACTCAAGGCGATTACGTCGGTGTTCTCGAGTTAAAGGGAGGACCCAGTGTGGCCGGTATGAAAACAAGCCAAAACTTCTCATTCGTCGGTAAACACTTCGCATGCCAATAGGTCTTCCGTGTTCTACAAACCATTCATTTGCAATGGACCTGGTAGTGGAGAAACGGTCCCTTAAGGCCAATAATCTTAGGCGGCGATCTTCACGGTCTGTTGTTCTACGGCGGCGTCCAGTGCCCCTTGCTCTTTGCGTACGGCCTTCTCGAAGCCATGCCTGACAACACCTAACCACAGTGTCTACACTTCTTTGCACTCTAACTGCAATTGCCCGAAGAGAAAGTCCAGCTTCCCGAAGTCCCACTATACGGCCCCTATCAAACTCACTAAGTTGACGAAATCGTACAGGTCTCCGTACTCTAGGCATCGTAACCGATCTTAAAGGATGTCAAGAACCAAAATCCGCCAACGTTGATTCTTTACTGCGGCTGAAATATTCATTTTTAGAGCGTTAGTGAATAAAAAAAAAGCAGTATAAAAACCGGAATGCCCAACTGATGAGGCTGAAATTTTTTTCACTTGTTATTTACAGTAAGATAAATACATTCACCAACTTTTATTAAAATAAAACCATTTAAACTGGGTGTTCGGATTTATATGTCACTTAGTATACTAATTTTTCATAGTGTTCAATTATCTTGTTTACAGCAAATGAAAACATATTTTCAAAATTACAAAGTCTGCAAAATAAAGCTATGAGAATCATTTTAAATAAAAACAAATATGCTAGAATTAAGTCTATTTTAGAACTACAGTGGTTCAATGTAAATAATTTCATATATTATTTAGTTCTCATTTTCATATCCATATTAAAAAATTATTTAATACCACTACATTTAGAAAACTTCACAAAATTAAATACTCGTAGTCATTATCATAACTACAAAAGTAGAGGCAGTATAGATGTTCATCTGCAAAATTGTAATAGTAGCATAACTAGCAAATCTATATTTCAAAAGGGAGGATTCGAAAAATTGAGTGTTCGAATTTAAAAATGTTTAAGGTGTAATTTTAATAAACAAGAATGTAAAATTACAGAAAACATTGTAGCAATAATGCTAAATAAATCTTCAATAAACAAACAAATCTGATGATTTGTTTCAATTCGTAAATATTTATAATGATGCATTTGGGACCTATTAAACCTATTAATGGTATAGAGATTTGAAAAAAATGTGTACTTCAGATATTAAAGAATTTTTTCTGTCAGCCTTTTTGCATACGTCCTATGTATGAAAAATACTTTGAATTCCCCATACACACGTCAAAAGATTTGTCAAGGGAGGCAACTTTTTAACCAAAAATTACTTCACCCCCTTCCACCCTCTGCTCCCCAGGGTCATCCCCTTGAAAGTTTTAAATGGTAAGGGGTATCGATTAATAGCTTGTTTGAAAGGTCCTTCGAAGTCCTTTATTTTGACGTTTGATTTTTTAAAATCGGTCGAGTCGTTTTCAAGAAAATTTAAAAAATCTTTATTTATCTTAATTTGTTCTGATAGAAAACAAAACCACGCGAAAATATCAATTTTTGTTTTAATAAGTATTCAAAATGTTACCCGTTATTGACCAAACAATGATATAGGCGATGCTCAAATTGCTGACGGACAAAAACGTGTGGGATATCATGGCAGCTTTCGATGATGCGTTGACGAAGTTCATCCAAACTTTCAGGTTGGGGAGTAAACACAATAGATTTCAAATGGCCCCATAGAAAAAAGTCTAATGGCGTCAAATCAGGAGATCTATCAGGCCATTCTGTAGGCCCTCTTCGCCCTATCCATTTATTTGGAGACTCGTCGTCTAGCCATTGCCCAACCGGAAGAACATAGTGAGGAGGAGCGCCGTCTTGCTGGAAATATATTCCAGCCTCATCCCCTTCGATTTGGTTTTCAATGGTTTCAGTGATAAGGCGGATTGATGGTATTTTCCACCATATACAAATATATGTCTCCATTCAAATTTCCATTAATAAACAATGGCCCAGTCACTTTGTTTAGTAAAATGCCTGCTCATACATTATTTTCTTTAGGGTACTGGGTATGCCTTTCTACAAAAGCATGAGGATTTTCATTGCACCAATACCTGCAGTTATGCTTATTAACAAATCCATATAGATAAAATGTGCATTCACCACTAAAGCAATTATTCTTTACATGAAAGTAAAAAAACTAAAGTTGGAAATATTATGTCAAGTGTTCAAAATATATCAGTAGGGGTGCCACAGGGAAGTAAATTAGGGCCGTTACTATTTATTATTTATATAAATGATATCTCTGTCATTTTAGAACACTGCAAAATTCAAATATTTGCGAACGATACACTTATATATATAGCACAAGCATTTGGACACTGCTTTAGAACTGTTAAATAGTGAAATTAAAAAAAATATGAATTGTTTAAATGTCAAAAAACTTAAATTAAATACTAACAAAACAAAATGTATGTCAATAGGGAAACATTTAGGTGACAATACAATTAGGCTCATAATTAATGATGAAAAAATTGAAGCAGTCGAGTCATTTAAATATCTTGGTATATATGTGGATAGTAAGCTACTGTTTCACGAACATTATGAATACATTATTTAAAAATATCGAAAAAGATAAATTACTTCTATAGAGTTGCCCATACTCTTCGTATGTATTCCAAAAAAATTGTGTATAATACTATAATTCTTCCCCATTTTTTATATTGTTCAACCATCTTGTTTATAGCAAATGAAAACATTTTCAAAATTACAAATTCTACAAAATAAAGCTATGCATAAAGCATAGAATCATTTTAAATAAACACAAATATGCTAGGATTAAGTCTATCTTAGAAAAACTGCAGTGGTTGGATGTGAAAGATTTCATATATTATTTGGTTCTCGTTTTCATATTCAAATTAAAAAAATCATTTATTACCACCACATTTAGAGAACATCACAAAATTAAATAGTCATTATTATAACTACGAAACTAGAGGCAGTATAGATTTTCATCTGCAAAATTGTAATAGTAGTATAACTAGTAAATCTATATTTCAAAAGGGAGTATTTGAATTTAATAAATTGAATAATGATATTAAACAAAGTTCAAATTTAAAAATGTTCAAGATGAAATTAAAATATCACTTTATGAATAATCAAAATACATAGTGACGTAATTTTAATAAACAAAAATGTAAAATTACAGAAAATGGATTGAAGAAAAATATGTAACCGAACCATTATGCAAAATTGACACTGCATCGCTGCAGTCATTTGTTCACAAACCTCAACTCGCCTATCGAAGTCATCTTCGGTTAACTCTTGATGATATTTATGTGAGTGGAGAAAGGTAACCAACAGCAAATTATTTTTTTTCCCTTAGCAACAAATAGCTAAACAGGTAAAACAATAAATATAGTTGATGTTGATAAAAACATGCGGAAAAAATGGGTTAAGTGGTTGTTGCCGCGTCTAATCTTCCGAATAGCTGTTTATGTTGGTAGTTTCCGTTTTAAATTATAAACGATTTGTAAATTTGGCAAACCCTAACGGGCAACATTGTGAACAATTATTGAAATAAAAAATATTTTTCTAATTTTCTTGAAAGCGAATCGACATATTTAAAAAAATTAAACGGCCAAATAAAGGCCATTCAAAGAAGCTATTACCCCTTTGTCATTTAAAATTTTTAAGTGAATGACCCTGGGGGCCGAAGGTGAAAGGGGGTGAAGTAGTTTTTGGTTAAAAAGTTGTCCCCTTGATAAATCTTTTGACATGTCTCGGCGTGTTTTCTTTTATTCAGTGGTTTTCGATAAATCCGTGGTGGGAAGGTTTTAAATGAGCACCCTGTATAATAAGACCGTTGTTTTTTTTCCATAAATGGATGTATTTTATAATTTTATTTCTTACAGGGATACAACAATCTGTTCCATAGTATACTGTTTTTTCTATACCACGTTAACAAAATGGAGCAAGGGATGTTAGGAAGAGTAAACTTGGGACGAGCAGGATTGAATATGTTGTGGATTATAGACCAATAATTGAACTGAAACGAACTGCAAAGATAAGCGTATACGTTTTCTATTTTTTATAGAAAAAAGAACATGAATGAACATTTAATTACAATTATTTTAAATAATAAAAGGAAATAAAAACAGTAAGACAAAATGCTTTAGTTTAGTATTATAACCCATCAGCGTACGTGTATAAGCTGGCTGCAAATACAATATCTCTCTTTATAGCAGTCGAAGCTTCCTCCATTTTTATCTGTAATTCCGGGTTTCCTATGATAACTCTTGCTGCATCTCTGATATCACAAATCGTTTCGTTTAGTTGTTGAATACATCGCACAATAATTCCTTCTTGTACATCTGTCAGTTGCATTATCTCTGCAAAAGGCTGCAAATATAACGATAACTTAGTCTTAATAATAAATAATGAAACGTCCTTAATTAAAAAAAATACAGATAATACATATATTAAATATACTCGGTGACATTAGAATTGTTACACCCAGAAAAAATAATTTCTTTAACTTGATTTTTTGGCAATGAGGTAGTCTAACATCAAGAATGAAACGATATTCTCACGAAATTTTGTTGACAATAAGAAAAAAATTAATGTGTTGGGCGACCCTGCAGCTGGATATACTCCTGTTTACGTCTAGGCATCGACTAAATGAGATGATCGATGTCTGGTTGTAGCACCTCATTCCAAGCAACTCGAACTTCGTGGATTAGCTGTGTCAGTCTGTGGCGGCTGATGCGAAGTGGATAGTCTCCTCCCTATCATATCCCAAACATGTTCGATGGAATTTAAATCCTGTGAAAGGGGTGGCCACGGCAAAACATTAAGGCATGCTTCTTGAAGAAAGTCCGTAGTACGACGAGCAATATGGGGACATGCGTTGGGTTGCTGGAAAAGGAATTGTGGGCGTCTCTCTAGATACGGCAGTAAAGTGGTTTGTAGGTTATCATCAACATAAGGCATAGCAATGATATTGCCTTGAACAAACAGAAGGGGTGATTCTGCCTCCCAATGTTGCCGTTCTCTGCTCCAGTTCAAACGTAGAAAACAGTGGTCCGCAGTCAGAGGAAGCACTAAGCGTGGACGGTATGAAAAAAGTCGAAAGGCTCGAATGCGGCGATAGAGTGCTCGCATAGTAATAAGTCTACCTTCTTCTCCAAACCATTGGTCAGCAATCTGACGCGTCTCGTACGCTCTGTGGTACGCTTCGGTGGACCAGTTGGCCTTCTTCGTATTCCTCTACCTTCTTCTATCCACACACGACGCACACGCATTACCGTCATTGCAGTACAATTAACACGGGCGGCCAATTTCGTCATAGGACAAAGCAACATCTCGATAGGATAGGTAAATGAAAGGGCAATAACTAAAAATATCTGTACTACTCAGCTCTAAAAAACTGCTTTCTTCACAAAACCTAAGAGATAAGATTTTAACAAAGGTAAAGAAAACTAAAGATAGAACATTGACATTCTTTTCACAGCACGCATTAAATATAGTCATTATGCTGCCAAAAAACAAGGTGAGGAAATTATTTTTTCTGGATGTGTAACACTTCTAATGTCACTGAGTATATAATGAAATTAGTGAGCAGCTTAATGGCGAAGTTTAGCTGTGTCAGCTATTTTTACACTCAGCCACTTACTGCATAAAAATATGAGATGGTAGAAAAGTACAGCTGTATTACAACTAAATTTGAAAGGAGGAAAATGAGCAAGAAACTGACCAAAACCTAAACATGTCTAAGCGAAAAAGTAAAATACTTGAGAAAAACAGACTTAAAAATCATCATTAAGCAGAAAAGTTTTTAGATATTATTTAAAACTAGTGGCGCAACGAAAAGGTCGGATCCCCATTTGTGACTCCTGGTAGATTTCTAAGGGGACGTCTTTTCATCTATAACCGTACAATTCAGATATTGCGTTACACTTCAGATTTCTAAATGGAAACCCCCTGTTTAAGAGCCAGGGAAACATCTGCTCTTATCCCCAAACCAAATAAAACTATTAGCCAAAGAGCATTCTACCATCTAGGCTCAACATTTTAAAATGTCGTTCCTACAAACTTTAAACATATAAAATGTAAAAAAACGTTTCAAAATGGAAGAATGTGGAGTGTTTGATCGAGTATTTAAACACACCAGAATCGGTTCGTTAATTGCGGCCGGTATGGGCCAGTCGACACACATCTTATCGATGCGAATCTTACCTTATTGTTTGCCCATTCATAAACGACATGAACTAATCCGAAATTCAGATCTTCTTGGAATTCATCAGTTTGAATAGCCAATGACAACTCTTTACGAAATATTTCTTGGTGGACATCTGTCAACTCCTTGATGCCCTAAGAAAGATGAGATCAACTTCAGCAACAATGTCTACTCAGATTAAATTTTAGTTTTAATAACGATTCCATTGTCACATATACTGCCGTACTTTGGTAAAAGGCAGTGACGTGTAAAAATTGAGGTCTGAGAAAATTGAGTTAAAAGTTCTGGATTTTACTAAATAAATAGTGTAAGGTTTGTCTATACTTTCTTCTATGAGTTTCAGAATTCACATCAGATATAGCTTATCTCACCCGTCTCAGATCCGCAGGAAGGCTGTCAAAGTCCAGCGGCTCATTTCTAGATTTCACCCTATATATCAAGGCTGACAACAGTGCAGCTACCTCCGGTGCAGAAAGTTTCGTCAGAATATTTCTTACCACCAGCTCTGTGATGAGAAGTTCGTTCATTCCTATTTCACAGGCAAATCTGCCTTTAAGTTGTACTGAAGTGGAAAATAGCACATTGTTGAAAAGAGAAACATTGAGGCTTCAAGAACGGCACGGGTATTACGTATCTTGAAGAGTGATATTATGTCGATATTTTTTGATATTATATTGGTTTTTGTGTGACATTATGTAGATTTTCCTACAAGATGTTAACTTAGCACTAGCTGATGGACACGTTGGACTCGTTTTGTGTGTGGCCTAAACGTCATGAGGCTTCAGTTAACAATGTTTGGCTCTAATGTGACGTAAAATCTGCTTCAGAGATGGCATTACTGGAGTTAACGGCAATCCTTAGGTGAAAAAGTGAGGACTTGTGTGCTAATAATATGTGTTGATGATAATTCCATTGGATTCTTGTCTCAAATACACTTACTTGAGATTCAAAGCTAAAAATTAGTTGCACATCCACTTTTTCTTATCCATTCTGGAAATTACATATGCAAATTTGCTGAATTTAAAAAATGTAATTTATAACTTTGAAAGGACAATATATAAATAACCCGCCGGGCACAGCTAATAGAAGTACTTCATTGGCAGCATATCCAGTAATGATTACCTCACACAGCAAATGTCACTGATTTTATACACATGCAGACCAATACACACAATCATCCAGATGCGATCTTGCTATTCAACCAACTTTCTTCTCAGAGATGAAAACTATAGATCTCGTTTACAAAACATATGCAACCAATAATACGTGTAGTGGTGTAGTTGAACCATTCCTCCATAGATGGACGCTCACAACGATCCTAGTGAGCAAACGTGCAATGACTGTTTGCATCCTAAAAAATACCTAGTCTGCAAGATGACATTTTATAGTTTTTTGACGTTTTATAGGTTTTTTACATAATACCCGTGCAATGTTCGCATACCATGAGAAGATTCTGCCAAGTATCATGGTGTCACTCTTGTCAAGGAAATGACCTGACAGCGGCACACCATATATTGTAGAACCTCTTTAACTTTGATCAATAAAATTCGGCTGTACAAAATGATTCTTAGCCTAGCAGATAAAATTCGTAGATAATTACAAATCGGAAAGAAATCTGTAAACTTTTCCTCGTTAACCGTTTCCTAGATCCAGAGGTACTCCATCCCAATCTTAAATATCATGTAGACTTGGTCTGATCCACATCTTATCTTCATTGTACTATAATTTTTTGTTTACTTGGAGCTCTTGTGATTCAAATCTTGTGTAAATTTTGAAACACGCATTACAAACTACACTTCTTCCTTTAATAACATGATAGTATCTTCAAGTGCGCTCCATCACGAAGTGATCAACAACTGCTTACCTTGATTTTGATTATCAACGTAGCATAACTGCCTCAGCAATTCTATCCTATTTTCATAGTCAGGATAAAGTGAAAGACTAGCATTCGAAAGTTTAAACTCTAAGTTCTTCTTACGTTCCTCCAAAAACTTCCTCTCAAACACATTTGAAAATTGTTGTTCAAAGTTAGGAATCTGGGTACTTGGCAAATGATCGATGAGTTTGTCTTTCAAGCCATAGAGTTTTTTTAAGTTATGATACAGTCCCTGCTCATTCACCTTCAAATCGATGATTAAATGCCAGTAGTCAAGCTTATTTAATGAATTGCTATTGCTGTTTGCCAACATCGTGAGTTTGTGCAACTCCTGTACAACAGCTACACATGTTTGACCTGGCGGATTATCTTTGAATCTTTCCATTTGCCGTTTTTCTACGTCTTGTATTATTAAATCTGGATTTGTCTTCAGAGTTTTTGCACTTATTTCAAAAATATCTACCTAGAATAGGAAATATCTGTAACTAAAAAGCTTATAAAAGCCTTATAGAATGCTACATATTAAGCTTATACCAGGTGTCCCTAGCAGGTGGCATACTCCTATAACTTTTTTATTTTTAAAGATACAAAAATGAAATTAAGTATGTATGTAGATATATCACATAAATGTGCACTGTGTGGCGTATTCAATTGTTTACTTCCACTTCCGGTTTAGCCGGAAATGACCTTAACTTTGTTAATTTAAATGGGACAACCGGTAAATTTTGCTTATTTGAATAGAAAATTTATTTGGTAGTTTTAGCGGCTATAACCGAGAAAGCTCCCTTTTTCCGAGTACAATGACGCTGCATTTGCTACCTTTTGACATCTAAAATACAAGTATTTGTAATTTTTAATTTTCAATTCAGTGTGCCATGAATATGATAAAATGGTAAATTATGGACTAAGCAGTCACAGAAAAATAGATTTGTCTTTTGTTGTTTATAGCCTCTTCAGACTCGTTTAAAGTTTGCTAAATCGTAATTATGGTCTTAAGTCAATTTTTTCAAATGGACCGAGGGTGGCTTACTAGCACAGCTAAAAAGATTATTTTTACCCGCAATTTGTTGCCACATAAACGATATTTTAGTTAAAGGTATTTCAGAAAAATCCACATTAATTATCTTATTATTCATTTTGCCATAACAGCTTCAACCAGCCGGAGCCGGCATCGGCTGCGTTGACAGAAAACTAAGGTGGCTTAGGCCCGATACGGGCTGACGATACGTCAGTCGTCCCTACAATTGTAGGGCGCGTTTACGGCCTCCTTGATTGTCATAGTTTTCTGCTTCTCCGTGTCAGAACTCTATTTTGAGGTTATGTCACAAACATCTATTTGCATCAAATTGTGCTTGCTTTTGAGTTATATCATGTTTTATGAGCCTGAAATTTCCTACAATTTAAAAAGAAAACATATCTTCACAATAGGAGAGCGCTGACGCTGACACGGGACAAGTGTAATCTTGAAATTTCTGAAGGAGAGAAACCAGGATGACAATCAAGGAGGCCATAAACAATGGTCGGTTGTTGTCACCAATCTGTCAGATTCCCAAATAAATCATTAACAAATTAATTAGTTAAAATAATAATAATTAAAAATTCCCCAAGCGCCGTCATCCAACGCGGCATTACTTTCCAAAATTGGTTTCAGAAACGCGAAATGAGCCAGCCTAATGAAGTGGCAGAAAACGATCATCTTATTGTGAACGAGGACAAAGAAATCGATGTTTTGGCGTACGTAGAGATTCATATAAATGCTTCAACTAGAGAAATTGCTGCCGAATGTCAAATATTAAAAAATTCCGTGTGGAGAGTTTTACAATACGGGTCTTACAAGTATCAATTACATCATCATCTTTACGAAGCTGATTATGAACGAAGGCTTGAATAGGCGTTTCCAACAGAAATAATGAAAGATATTGGTCTACAGAAAATTTGCACTTAATGGAATAAGGAAAATTCCAAGAAAGTTTTGGTTTTAATTGAAGGCAGGATTCTAGGTCCCGTAATTTTTTAAGAGCATTTGACAGAAAGATATTTGAAATTTCTTTCTCGTGAAATTGAAAATTTCTTGGATGAAATAAATACAAATGGCATATTTTATCAACAAGATGGCGCTTCGCCCCCACAACACGCGGGTGATATCAGCCTATTTATGAATAATACCTACGGGGAAAACTGGATTGGAAATAATGGACCAGTTAGATGGTCTCCAAGGTACGTAGAACTGATTATTCAAAATCTATATCAGAATTAATTAGTTTATTTAAATATTTAGGTCGCCCGATCTAACACCACTAGATTTTTATTTATGAGGAACAATCAAAAACGAGGTTTATAAAACATCGTCAGCGACACGAAAAGAGTTGGAAAACAAAGTAAGGGTAACCGTTTTTTGTATCTTTAAAAATAAAAAAATTATAGGAGTGAGCCACCTGCTAGGGACACCCACTAGGGGTATAAGTAGTCCTGAATTTTCAAGATGATAATTGGAAAGTTACGCCTAAATTGTTATCGTTTTTATATATAGGGGAGACTAGGGAGGCTTGAGACTAGGGAGGAATGAGACAATACATTTATTTACTAAAATCGGGTATGCAGAGCCACCTGTTGGTTACTGGTGAATAACTTTAGTCAAGTCTCTCACCGCTTGGCCAGCGAACCAGCGAGAATAATTAGTAGAACATTGTTGTTAGTGCACGTGCAAAATGGCTGCCAAAACTAAATTTTAATTTTGTGATATCGTTGTAGTTTGCAGCAAGTTATAGTGAAAATTTGAGTTGATTGTTGAGACATTGTGAACGCTGGTATGTTGTGAATTATTTATAAAGGTATCTCATAATAATAATAATATTTATTCACTCAATGTACAAAGATAACAAACAATATGAGTAAATAAATATAAAATCAAAACAGGCCCAATAGAAGGCATCGCCTGTACATGGACCAATAATTTAAGTTGAAACTGTAGAATGCAAATGACAAAAAAGGACAAAAATTAGCTACAGTAGATTATGTATTTAGTTGATGTTCGTATGCATGAGTTTATGAATTTCAGTCCTAGATATAGAATGTAGCCATTTTTTTAAATTTCTTTTGAAACAATTTCCGAAACGTAAATCTTTTAAGTCTTTAGGTATAATTTCATAAAATTTAGGCGCTAATAAAATAGAAGTTTAACGCAAATATTTTATGAAATGCTGTATAGGGAGATATGAGACAGCTGTTTTGGGGAGACATGAGACGTCTCATACCTCCCTATGTCGCGGTTTATAAAATTCTATGATCTAAAATTCCGGTTAAACATGTGATTGACTGGATTATTAGTATTTTTGGACAATTAAAAAATGCTAACTGGATAATATTGTTCCAGATACAATATGCCCCATTTTTGGATTAAGAAAACGAAACGAATAGTCCGTCCTCCTGATGTGTTGAAAACCGCAGTGGAAGAAGTTCTTGGAGGAGCAAAATTACGCGCAACTGCAAGGAAATATGATATAGACAAACTAACGCTTAGCAGATATGTGAAAAGAAGGAATTTGGATGCCCCTGCTGAAAACATTACGTATTCACCTGATTTTAAAACTGCGTTAGTGTTTACCCATAAAGAAGAGGCTATGCTGTCGGATTATCTAGTCCGTGCTTCGCAAATGCATCATGGTTTAACAGTTACATGCGCACGTCAACTAGCCTTTCAATTTGCTAAGGCTAACCATAAAAAATATCCTATGAAATGGGATGAAAAATCAATTGCTGGCTACGACTGGTATCGAGGTTTTAGACATCGCCACCCCGAGTTATCGCTGAGGACTCCAGAGTCAACCAGTTTGTCACGATGTACGAGTTTTAATCGCACAAATGTTACCACGTTTTTCAACAATTTGGAATCGGTCCTAAAGCGCGAAAAGTTTGAATCTCATCAGATCTGGAACATCGATGAGACAGGGCTTACAACTGTACACAAACCACCCAAAGTCCTGGCAGCGAAGGGCGTTAAACAAGTTGGAAACGTCACGTCTGCTGAACGTGGCACATTAGTAACTGCCTGTTGTGGTATTAGTGCTGGAGGAAGATTCATCCCGCCCTTTTTCGTCTTTCCAAGAGTACATTTCAAGGACTATATGGCGCTTTTCCAGGGAGTGATGGAGTTGCTAATTCCAGTCGATGGATGTCTTCCGAAAACTTTGTTGCTTTCCTGGACCACTTCATAAAGCATAGTGGTTGTTCCGTGGAAAATAAAGTATTGCTACTGATGGATAACCATGAGAGCCATATTTCCGTTAATTCCCTGAGGAAAGCAAAAGAAAATGGAATAGTGATGATCACGTTTCCACCACACTGCAGCCATAAAATGCAGCCCTTGGACGTATCGATTTACTTCCCCTTTAAGAATTACTATAATTCGCCGTGTGTATCATGGATGGTTTCCAATCCAGGTCAAACTTTGTCCATTTACAATATTGCTGCTTTAGCTAGTCAAGCGTTCGAATTAGCTTTCACACCAAAGAATATTTTATCCGGTTTTTCAGCGACTGCCATTTATCCGTTAAATCGCAATGTGTTTACTGAAATTGATTTTATGTCTAGCGCAGTAACGGATCGACCACAAGAAACATCAACTACAATTTTAGAAGATGCAGCATCTATATCGAAAACCGGCGTGTAAGAAGAAATTTCGAACCATACAAACATTCAAGACGACGGCTGAACGTCAAAAGTCCACGTGCAAGATCGCAATTTAAACACTAAACAAAATTTTGTTAGTCCAGAAATTTTGCGACCCCTTCCGAAGGCAGGCCCACGAAAACGGATAACAAAGCGGAAATGTGGTTCCTCAAGAATTCTTACCGACACACCAGAAAAAGAAGCAATAGAGGCTGAAGCAACTGCTCGGAAGATAAAAAAAGTTGTTCCGTTGAAACATGACGATCTTTTATCAACGACAAACAAACAAAAATCTCGACAGAAACATGCAACACCACCACAGTCTTCTTCAAATGATGAAGAGGAAGAAAGCGAGTTGGGCGGAAGCAGCGAAGATATTTCAGATGTTGAAAGCTACGAAAGAGAAATGCTTCAGATTAAAGCTCTTGAGGATGTCAAAACCCTCCAAGTGGGAGACTTTGTTTTGGTTAAGTTTTGCACAAAGACTCTTCAACTATGCATTATGTGGGTCTGGTAATATCAAAGGAAGATGTTGAATACGAGGTAAAATTTTTACGTCGTCACGGAACCACTTGGAAATTTATTTATCCGCCAGTGGAAGATATTTCTTCAGTTTGAGAACATGATATTATTTTGAAATTACCAAAAAATGTAGGTGGAACAGAAAGAGTTACATCTACTCTGACATTTGGTCTGGACTTCCAATATTATCAAAATGTTCGTTGATTTTCCTTATTATTGTCATTATTATTTGTTTAATTAATTAATAGACAGTTTTCGTTGTTGATTAATATTAATAAACTTCTTGGGTTGTCAATTTTATTTATGTACTTTTTATTTCTCCAACAATTAATAAACGTTTCCCAAATGCTTACAATGTCTCAGTGCTCCCTAAAACTTGTCTCAACGCTCCCTTGCCTAGGGAGCCTTAAGACAATTTACACCATTTTGTTGAAATACATTTAAACAATTTGAATAATATTTTGGAAGCATGAAATAGTATGGGAAGTTTAACTAAATCGCACACAATTCATTTGCACTATATGTAATCTTCAAATTCCAAATTGTATAATGTATATAAAATAAAATTCATTTTTTGTCTCAAGTCTCCCTAGTCTCCCCTACACAGCAAAATACTACGACGTTCAAAAAGGTCAATATGCTAGTTGACACATTTTTTAAGTAGTTAATATTTGTTTTCTATTAAACCAAAAACGTTAATATCATATATTTTTCAGACCTAAAAGACCGTGAAACTTTAATTTGCAAATATATTTTTCTTAGACAGCCGAAAACGTTGTCCGCCATGTTTTATTCATATTAATGTGTTGTGACCTCAGCCATTTGTAACCGGCAGCACGACCTCTCAAACTTTTAAACATATAAACATGACTTCTACTAGTTTACATGAAAAATATAGTTAAATAATTATCGATATTGTATGGCCTGAGAATGTAAACACCTCGATAAAGACCTCAGGAAAGATGTGGATGAGAGTGCCCAGGAAAATAAATATATGCAACACTGGGTATTGCTTGGAGTATATCTTATGTTAGGGACATATTTTACTGTGCAGATTTTATTGTCTTGTTTAAGGTTGACGTAAATTACAACATCATCGCCGTATGACGGATGAGCTTAGTTTTGACTGACTTTTGAAAAGAAAGATTATCTTAGTACTTACGAGTATTCTTTCTTTTTATGTCTACCATTATGTCAGATACACTGTACAGAGTGGCCAACTAAGAAAGCAAGGTATTGTATCTGGGAATATATCCATCGTAGATGCTTGCGGCAAAAAAGTTATTACTAAAACGGTCAAGAGAAAAACCTGGAAAATACTTTCAAGTTTATGAAATGGCTGCTAGGGGGCTTATCTGTAATCTTCAATATAAAAAATCTATGTTTCTGTGAATTCCGCTATATCAAATTAATAAAAATACCTTATATTTAAATTCGAGGATAATCTGAACCTTTTTTGTTTGACAATTTTTGCTGAATCTCTAAAAATAAAGTTTTGGAGGGATTCAAAGGTTTCCGTAAAAAAACACACTGCAGCTTCGACACGGCTGAGCCGGTTTTAAAAAGCTGGGGTTAGTTGAAAAGAGCTAGTTATGGGCTATAAATCTTATAATATTTGAAGTATTGTTAGTTTTACATGTGGCCGCTAGAGGGCTTTTTTCTGAATTCTGACACAAATGGTTAAATTTCTCAAATAAATTAAATGCATTGGTATGATTTTTTTTATGAAAAAGTAGCTAAATGATGTCTAAACAAGTTCGCGAAAACCGCATCTCGATATCTTGTTCATAACCTAAAATTTAGGCCAAAGAATGTGTTATACGGAAATCCCGTAAATTTTTATTTTAAACACGATAGATATAATCAAGTGCTGAGTCAACCAGAAATATCTGTCTAGTAGCGTGAAAATTTAGGTCCTAGCTCAATAAAGTGAAGAGTAGTAACGAATGAGAAATTCCGATTCCCAGACCAAACTGTCTAATATTCTACCTAGACATTAATGATGTAACGCATGTCATTTTTTGAACATTCGCGAATGCGAAAACAAATATCTGCTACCGACATTCGCGAATGCGAATGCAATTATTCAGTTTTTGTTCTGGCGCCAATTGTCTATGGCAGTCTCGTTCGACCAAATGCGTTCCGTTTGTATTTGAAATTGAAGCCGAAGACACCCAAATAGATAAACGAGTATATCTGAAAGAATCAATGAATTGACTAATAGATGCGAGCGACAGTGAAGAGGAACATTGCATTATATTTGTTTGTCTTATAAGATCTATGAAAAATTATTTGTTAGGCTTCATTGTCCAAAGTAAAGTAAATCAATAATACCTAATGATTAGGTCAGGCCTCTCCAACTCAGGTGCTACCAGTGCAGCGCCGAGCACTGCTCGCATCACAATGCTGCGGGGTGACTCCGTGAAGGTGGGGAAGGGATTAGGCAGCGGCATACGCATCGCGAGGAAGGTGTTGTGCTAACCGTAGCACCTTGCGAATAGAAATGACCCGGGAGCTGGTGGCATTGAGTATACCTTCATCGCGGAATCGACAAAATTTAGTAATAATATGTAGTTTTTGAGTAAATGAACAAGAAGAGCTGCATTCTGCCAGAAGTACCTGTCATACCGACTTAAACATACAGCGTGACAACAGAATTTCACCGTCATCACCGAATCCAATGAAGCCTACAAGGTTTGATGGAAATTTTAGGCTCATTTGGAAAAACATGGTATGACAAACTGATTTCCTCCAGCAGTTTCTGACGTACCGACTGAAAGCTATAGCAGGCAATGCAAATAGATAAAAATAATACATCCAGTTTGTATGCTTCAGGCTTGCATTTAAAAGCTCATTTGAGTCTGTCAGTTTGGCACCAGGTTACCAAGTGTTTGAAAGTATATAATCAAATCCAAGCGAATAACCAAAATTTCTGTGTTATGTGCCGCGGTTACAATATGGTTCAAAATGACACACGGGTTGATGACGTCAGTTACACGAATCGCTTGAACGCGTTGGTTTTAACCGCGGTTTTGTTCCAAGTTGTTTATTTTAGAAAAGCGCGTGTGTAATCTGTGATTATTTTTATTATCACTTAATAATCGGTGCTTTTTCGTCTACAACTGTATATGGAAAGTTTAAATAAGAAACCTTTCATAATATTCATGGGAGAAATGTTTTTTTCAGATTTTTTTTTTAATGATGAAACCATGGCTTTGTAGCTATGATTCTCTAAATTTTTCCGCATGTCAAAGAAAACATTTATTGATTCAGCAGAAATGATAAAAAAGAAATTAGCAAAACCGTATACAGGTGGATATCATCTAGTGAGTTTATATGGCCATATTTTAATATTCTTGTGGTATATGGCTACACAGGATACTTTGTTAAGCATAGGAACTACATTTAAAATGTCCCCAACAACCGTAATGAGTATAACTAATAAGGTGCTCCACTTTATGGTAAAACTGAAGTCAGCCTGTATCATTTTTCTCAAAAATGAAGCTGAAGTACAATAACAATATCCAATTCCCGGCAAAATTCTAACTTGTCACATTTCAAATAATAACCAGAAATATAAAACTACTCTTAAGTTGGGTAAATACCACAATTTTGCGGTGATAACTATGACATATAACAGCTGATTCGTGACGTCACGGATCTTATAACCAAACTGATAACTACACTCGCTTGAACGGATTGGTAAATACCAACCCAAAATGGTAAATACTATTTCCATTTGGTTATCCGCTTGAATTTGATTAATGTAAAATGAATATGAAACGTCATGACCGTTGATATACGTATAGGTTATATGGTAAAATCCTACCGTCACGTTGTATCTTCAAGTCGATATGACAGGTACTTTCATCAGCATACCAAGCCCTTTTTGTTCATTTACTTAAAAACCACATATTATTACTAAGTTTAGTCGAATCCGCGATAAGGTTTAATTTTGCCGGCTCCCAGCGCCAACGGAAAATGAGACATTCGTATTGACATTTGAATTGGTCTGATCGAGTCAACGCGCGGGTGATAAAATAATGTTCATAATTTCGACGTAAACACATTTATTCTTAAGATGATCTTTGACAGCGTATCGATTCGACAAGTTTTCTAATATTTGGTACAGTGGCTTGAGCAGTGGAAATTCTGACTATCGCCTCTAAGGACACATCAGACAAAGACCTGTTTTTAGTTTTGTTCCAATTCATTAAAAAAACCAGCTGCTCGCAGAAGTACGTTCTACCGAACATGGAGCAAGTTTCCAAGGTCAGTGCAAGAATTTTGGGAAAATCTTGCTGCTTAACACCTTGATAAAACGAAATTAAATTACTTTTGTACTGGTAGTATCTATTCTTAAGGACCGTGTCGCCTTGAAGCTTAATCAGCTCCATTTTAATTGCGGCGGTTCTGTTTCGAAAAGCACTGAAGATGGCGTCGTAAAAATCTCATTTGCATAAACATCTCAACGTCGTCAATGATTTCAAAAAAAAATCTTTAGCACTTTTGCGCAGCTTAACCAGCGCGTAACACAATCAAAGGGTATGTCACCGTAACTTGCTTCCAGGTCTTTGAAAAATACTTCAAACTGCCGTGGTTGAGTCCTTGCTTTCTGCAGAAATTGACACATGTTACTACTACATCCATAATAGATTTGATTGCAGTATATCGATGATATCGGAGGTAGCCCAGCGTCGCGTACTTTTATTATCATTCGCCCAGTAAAATCTTATGCTTCCGATAACATTGCTGGCGCTCCATCAGTAACAACACTACGCAAACTTTTGAGTAGTATACCCATGTTATTCATTGTGTATTCTACAGCATCAAAAATATCTTCTCCGGCCATTGTATCTTTGAGCGGGATAACGTCTAGTAGTTCGTCGGTGAAAGTAAAGACTATTTCAGACCTCTAACAAAAACAGCTAATTATGCTGTGTCAGAAATGTCTTTACTTTCAACGAGAGCTATAGCAGTTGTTCTTTTAAATCTGCACCAAGTTCAAGTATCTGACGAGAAATTGTTTGCTCGGACATAGATACTAATTGTCTCAAAGTTGCTTACAGGAGATGGGCACAATATTTCTGCACACTCCACTAAGCATTCTTTGACATGTGCACCGTCAGTAAACGGTCTCCCACTTTTTGCGATTTTCATAGCAACAATATAACTTGCATGACGACACCATTAATAATAATCAACTACGACCAAATTAATAATTACCTCTACATAAGTTAGAAGAGCTGGCCTCAATACCGTGTGACAAATTAAACATTTTGCTTTTCCATCAGTATTTACAAAAAATGGGCTTCTTCTATGCAGGATTGAATGACATCGTTTAAAAAAAGATGCACGTTAAGACGCTAAAAAACCTGTCCACTTTGTATTGTCCTATTAAGAAATGGCCCGCGTCCGAGAGACAGTCTCCTAATATGTTTCTCTCTGTCGCGACGGCTGTGCGGTCGAGGTGGAGGGGGAACGGCACCGGTGCCGCTGGGCCGCAGCGCAACAGCACCAAGTGCTCGAGTTTGAGAGGCCTTTATTAAGTGAAGACTTACGCGGTGAACTTACTTTTTCTTGTATTGAAAAACATAAGAAATGAATGGATTTTGTTTTTATTAACCTACTATTATCTAATGATTGTATTTTTTCTGATACTTATATTCGCAAAACATTTGCAGAAGTTCTGCGAATGCGAATATGCAAAAATATGCGAATATCAGCGAATGCGAATATTTGTTACATCACTACTGGACATAACGAAACAGAGTTTCGCCCAAGTAAAACAAAACAATCCCAAACACCTGACAGGCGTTCAGAGATGAAAAGTTCCCAACTGAACATACGCAACATCACTGGTTGCCTATGGGTATACCTCAGGACCGTATTATCAATATCATGCTCATAGCAAAAGGCATATTTTTTGGTTTAAATGCATATTCACTCTGGGTACATACGAAAAAGACAATTAACAGAAGCATTCCATGGAATACATCAAACTATATACCTAATCAAAACATAAGTAATCCTAAAATTGTCAATAGTTTGGCGTTACTTTAAGTAATTTTTGTGCTTACCAAATGCGTTTTACAAACGATGAAGCTGTTGATATGTTTGCAGTTTATTTTGAAATTTTTCAGAATGCCGCAGTAGCAAAAAGAGTCGATATCCAAATCGGTGTCTTCGCGATCGGAGAGTTTTTCCCCGATTACTGGCGAGCTTACGAGAAAATGGTAGTTTTTGGCATACGTTTCAACGGCAAATAATTGGAAGAGCACAAGAAAATATTAACCTGCGTACATGTCGTTTTGAATTAGGCCTTGAAAGAGCAAGACTTAGATCGGATTTTGAACTATTGCCATTGGAAGTTAGGCATGATACGCGAAACTAGAGAATTTTTATTTCAAATTCTTTGGATCGATGAAGCCACCTTAATAATGACGGAAGAGTTAATCTGCACAATATGCATTATTGCTTTGCAGAAAATCCGCATTGGTTGCGTGAAGTTCATCACCAAGTTCGTTGGAGTTTAAAATGTGCCTAAATGTCTTTCTTGACTTTTTGGACAATCAATTACCGTTGTTGTTGGAAGATGTGCCACTGGAAACACGACAAAACTTGTTTTTGCAGTTGAATGGTTGCCCAGAACATTTTACTATTGTTGTGCCAGTGCATATTAATGCAGTATTTCAACAGCGGTGGATTGGAAGAGGAAGTATGTTTCCATGGCCTTCGCGATCACCACACTTAACTTGTCTTGCTTTTTTTTTATTTATGGGATGGTTAAAGGACTCACCCTACAACCAGAGAAGATATGAAAAACTGGATTCGTAATGCATACGGAGAGTCGAAATTGAAGCTGCAGTTTTGCGTACCCATGAGAGGCTTCAGGAATGCATAGAGCATGTTGATCAGCATTTCGAGCATTTAAGGGGGGCATTAAGAACCGCTCTCATTTAAGTCGGTCGTTTTAAGAGCCACAACTTGATAAGAAAAAGAAATTCCAAAAATAAGTTTAAAAAAATACAAATTTAAGGGATTTCCGTATAGAATTTTCTTTGGTCCAAATTTTAGGTTAGGAACAAGATATCGAGATGGGGTTTTCGCGAACTTGTTAGATATCCTTTAGCTACTTTTTTATAAAAAAAATCATACCAATGCATTTGTTTTGAGGAAATAACCATTTCTATCGGAATATTGGAAGCGGTCCTCTAGCGGTCACATGTGAAACTAACAAAACTTCAAATATTATAACGTTTGTAGCCCCAGAATAGCTCTTTTCAACTAGCCCAGGTTTGTTAAAATCTGCTCAGCCGTTTCGAAGACACAGGGTGTTCTTTACGGAAACCTTTGAATATCCCCACCACTTTATTTTTAGAGATACAGCAAAAATTGTCAAACAAAAAAGGTTCAGGTTATCCTCCAATTTAAAGATCCGGTATATTTCTGTTAGGTTAAGATAGCGGGATTCACAGAAACATCAACTTTTAAGATTCAATATTGCAGTTACTCCACCTGGCGGCCATTTCAGAAACTTGAAAATATTTTCCAGGTTTTTCTCTTGTCCGTTTTAGTGAGTACTCTTTTTGCCGCAAGCCTCTACGATGGATATGTTCCCAGATACAGTACCTCGCATTCTTAGCTGGCTACCCTGTACATGGACAATAGAATTTATATCTTGGAATTAAAAAATAGTTCGTTCACAGAAAAGATTCTACAGAATACTTGATACTTTGTATAAGATATTCGTAATACTGATAATTCATACCGGTGTTACTGTAAGGATCTCATGGCCAGGAGTTCCTAATGGTTGGAAAACTTTTTCTTGAGCTAATCCAAGCATATAGTAAAACAAATCTTCATTTGGTGTTTTGTCCGTGCATGTTGAAGGGTCATTCAAAACTAGCACTTTGTACTGTAGTTGTTTAGATCGAGCTTGAGATAGTAGAAGTGCTAGCTTGTTGATGTGCCCTTTATGTGTTACGACTAGAATTCTTCCTGGCGTAAGGACTTTTTGGACTTTTGGAGACGCAAATACGGTATTCTGAAATAGAAATAGAAATTCCTCAATCTCGAAGATTCCTAAGTGAGAGTAGTTTCAAATTTGAGGTTAGTAGCTTAATGTTTGCGTATTTATGATTTATTTAGCATGATTGCTACAATTATATTTTTTTAAAAACAACAATTACGCAACACACAAATACTTAGTAAAACAAAACTTGCATCACTAAGAATTTTCACTGTCTATCAAATGTTCCATTAACTTTAAATTCAAGTAATCTCTTCTGAAATATTAATTTGCTAGTTACATTACAATTGCAATTTTGTAAATGGAAATCTTCATTTTCTCTTGTATGACAATTGTGGTGATGATTATTCAATTCTATGTAATTTTCTAAATGTTCTGACAAGAAATAATTTTTCTTTCAAATATAAAAATAAGAACCAAATAATATATGAAATTTTTTATATCCAACCACTGCAATTCTTGTAACATAGTCTGCAATTTGATGTTCTTATTTCGATTTAATATTATTCTCATAGCTTTATTTTATACGTTTTGAAATTTTAAGAATACAGTTTCATTGGTAGTGAACAAGATAGTTGAACAATCTAGTAAATGTCGTAGAATAATTGTATTATTGTATTTGGAATATGTAAAAACTATGAGAAGCTGTACACTAACAATTTGTTTCTTTGGAAATTGTTAAAATAATGTATTCATAGTGATCATCAAACTTTACTATCAACATAATATATGTATATATAGAGACACAAGGATCACGCGGAGAAAGGTATATAAAAATAGAAAAAATAATGGGCAAAATCCGCAAAAAGGAGGAAAGCTTCTTAAGCGATTGAAGAAATGTCAAAGATGAGGTTCCAGTACTGGCGCATTCAACACTTTTAACCGTGTTGTCACATGTCTATTAGTAGATTGGATAGATTCCTGTCATTTGGAGGTTATGCCAACGAATACTGGAGGGTTAACATCCGAAGATTTTATTTATTCCAACTTAGAAACAAATCGACAATAGAAAGTCAAGTTCAATTCGAAAACTGTACAGGAATAAATTCATTGGAAACAAACTAAATGGAAAGTATTGTTGATATTATGGGTACTACTCTTAACGCTGGACCTGATTATATGAAAATCAGTTTCCAGAGGCGAATTTTGCATACAGTTTGAAAATTTCATAGCGTATAATAGAATTATTCCAGAAAAAAACAAACAGTTTAAAATCCAACAACAACAGTACCGAAATCACTACTAAACACGTACTGCAAAACTGTTCCGAAATTTTGGGATATCCTGCATTAAAATGGAACAATTATTGTTCACTGAGGAATTCTTTGTCTGAAAACTGGAAATGCTCTGCAATAACACCAGTTTCCAAAATAAACATATTCTAAAAGACGCAGCGATATGAGACCAGTAAATGTGTTACCAGACATTGAAAACAAAATTTTAGTGGAAACACGAGCAGGCAGGCAGTTAGTTACTGAGAATTGGAGAAGAGCCATAGACTCTGAAAAAGTTGTCATAGCAGTATTTTTGGAATTGAAGGGGGCATTTGAAACGATTGATAGAGTTATTTTGTTAGGTAAATTGGAGGCATATGGTTTATCAGTAAATGTTTTAGATTATTTTAAAAATTATTTGTCTAATTTAAGTTAATGACACTATTTCATCAAAAATTGAAAATACGTTAGGTGTTCCACAGGGCAGTATTCTGGGACCACTTAATTTTATTTTATACATAAACGGTTTACCTACCATAGTAAAAAAACACAAAATTCTGATTTTGGCCGATACACTGATTTATATAGTACTCAAAATATTCAGACTGGTACCTCTTATATAAATGAAGGCTTGAAACTTGTTTCAAAATGGATAGCATCTAATAAACTCAAATTAAATACAAGTAAAACGAAAGCTATGTTAATCGGAAAAAAACAATGTACAAATGTTCAACTAAATGTTGTTGGTGATGATCTTGAGTTCATAGAACATTTTTAATACCTTGGGGTTTTTGATGACTCTCAATTAATTGCTGATATTCATTATAAAGAAGTTATAAATAAGATTATTAGTGAAGTGGGATATAGCAGAAAAAATATCTATAATGCTTTCATTCTTCCACATTTCTTGTTCTATTCGACTATTCTATATTTAGCTAATAATCCCATTTTTGAAAGACTTCAACGTGCATGAGAATAATACTGAATAAAGATAAATATACTCCAATTAGACAAATGCTTAGCAAATTAAAATGGCCTCAATGTAAAAAATGTTGTCAAATATCTTGTAATGATATTCATTTATAGAGTAAAAAATAAAATATTTCCATTATGTCTAACTGATTTGACATCGTCAAATGCAGACCATCATTTGCATAATATCAGAAATAAAGATGACTTCCATTTAATGACCAAAAAGAATAACATATGCTACAAATCTGTATTCCATCAATGGTTGATTGAATATAATAAATTATATACAGAGATAAAATACCAGAAAACTTTGACAAAATTCAAAGTAAAATTGAGGAATCTCATTACATTTATACTACAATTGTAGCTTGCCCAGCATTTACATCATATGGCTTGAATTTACTAATTCTAAGTTGTTCATAATTATTCTGTTTATGTAGCCAAATGTGCTAAATAAATCTTTCTACTACAGCTACTACTACTATAGTTCTATTCACGGTTTTTGGCGGTTCAAAGTAAAACTACAGAAATCACTTTCATACATCTATCTCTCGCATACATACGAGGAGGTACCAAAAAATAACCGGAATAGCATTGCAGTGGGCGGAGCTTGTGTAATTTCTGCCCCTAGAGGTGTACAGCGCAACTCATTGCCATTTCAGTGCCACCTGAGTTGTCGATCTGGCTTGTTTCGCTCCTCTGTAGTCATTATTTTTGCTAAAGCTGTTTCGTGCTTGTTTCGTTTTTTACGATGGCAAGCTTCAGTGAGCAACGTGCAGCTATGAAAACTTGCTTTCTAATTGGCAAAAATGCTGCTGAAACTGTTTTAATGTAGGAAATAGCTTACAAAGATGGTGCTATGGGAAAAACTCAGGTGTACGAGTGGTTTGCTCGATTTAAACATGGCGACATGTCGATTGATGACAAACCTCGCTCTGGACGTCCATCAACTGCCCGAATCGACGAAAATGTTGAAGAAATTCGAGAGCTTGTACTATTTGGAGGATTTAAGACTGTTCGACAAAAAAGACCAGATTTGTGGCAGTCAGGAGATTGGTTCACCACGATAATGCACCTGCGCACACAGCCATCGCTGTTCGACAGTTTCTGGCTAAAAATGGCATGGTTCCGCTGCCTCACGTACCTTATTCGTCTGACCTGGCTCAGTGAAACTTTTTCTTATTTCTAAAAGGGGCAGGAAAGGACGCCGCTTTAATGACATTGAAGAGGTCAAGAAAAAAAAGAGGGAGGAGCTGTCAGAGATTTCTAAGGAGGACTTGAAAAAATGTTTCGAGCAGTGGAAGCACTGATGGGACAAGTGTATTAGTTGTAGTGGACAGTATTTTGAAGGAGACAATGTTACTTTGTGAAAAAGTGGAAAATAAATAACTTTTAAAAAATAATTCCGTTTTTTTTGCAACCTACCCGTGTGTGAACGTTTGTTCGGTACGCTCAAAGACATACGTTTTTTAGTTGTGTGTCTCCGTCTCAAAAAGTTTGTCGTTACTTATGAGTGTCCTTCAATCATATTTGTCAGATTGACAACACTTGACATCGGCGTGCAATCTGAGTTGTCCTGTTAACAATCTTCAATATTAAATTGTACAATGCCCGGAAATACGATCAAGGAAGAAGGCCGACAGCTCTTCCTAAATTTATTTCCAGGAAGAGAATAAAAACAAAGGTCCCCTGTTACCCACTTCATGGTTACTGGAGAGAGTAGCAGATGCGCTGAAGATTAGTCTGCGCAGTGTTCCGAACAAGGTACGGAGACTCGATCTGTTTACTTATTTCATATGACGTTGACGACGTAACCGCCAAGAACGGTGACTACAACTATAAAAAAGTGTTGTTTCCGAATAGATACAAAACTGGCAACAACATTAACATCCAATCGGGAACGCTCGATTATCCCCCTGTTTAAGAACATTGACTAACCCAAAAGCACTAGGCTTTCACGCTTTGACACTACACTACGTATATCTGCTCACCATAATGAAATGCTTTCTGTATTTAAATGCTTACCATTATGTCTTGCCTTGCTTGCAAATATGAACTAGCACTTTCATAGAACTTCACCAGAGGCTGCAGGTAACTGCTGATTTGTTGCCTGCTAATCTCTTCTAATTGCTGATTAACCGTTTCCAGTTCTTTCTTTATATCACCCATTCCTTTTTGATGATCAGCTTCTCTAAAACTTCGGAGCATCATGCCCTCCACACTGAGACTTTCAACTCTTAGCAAACTTAAAACCTAAAAAGTACACAGGTATTCTCATTGCAATACATGATGTTTCAGAAAACAATGACAATATTACTATATATATATATATATATATATATATAAATTACACCCAAAAATAACAAAAATTATATAAATATGGGATACTTCCAAGATACAGTGTTGAAAATTCAGTCTCATTGTGACTGACCAAGGACAAATCATGAGTACTACTTAATCAAAACTGCGGCGAAATAAGGATTACTCCTCTAATATGTATACTAAACTGGTGCACAGATGCTTTGCAACATGGAAAATTTCACCAAAATTCAAATCTCGATATTTTCGGAACTGAAAGAGATATCGAGTTGCGGTATTCGAGAGGTTCTTGATCAACTCTTTGAGAACACGTTTAAGGTTCGACCGATATATTTATTTCATTTATCTACTTATACAGGGTGAGCAAAGGAAGTCAGGTTTTTTAGCAAAGTTGGAATTTGTCTATGCTTCTTTTTGATATTTGGACTATCCTAAAAGAAGTGATATCTCAAATTTTTCGAAAGCTGGCTATAACGTAACGTAAATGAATTATCAAATTTATAACACAATAAATGTCTTTCGGCTCGACCTCGTATTTTGTATTGCCCTCTCCATGCAAATAGGGCGTTTTTCTGGTTTCATCCCAACTACCTACACCTCAAACATGCAGTAATAATAATATTGACTGTAGACTTGACAGAATAATTTGATTTTCTCAAAAATGACTCGACTTTTTCAAAAAGAACGAGAGAATTGTATAAAATTATTTGGGAAAAAATACGAGGTCGGACCGAAAGACATTTATTGCAGGAAGTAAGGCTTTCATCCAGAACCTTGAATGAAACCACGGCGGCACAGTGGAATCAAGTCGTACTGTAAGAAGAACTTTAAATTCTAATTTGTTAAGGTATGTAAATGTTATAAAAATTTGTTAGGTACTTTTTTAAAGTAGCATTTCTTCCAGAGCAAGGCGTTGTTACATATTACATTTAATCTTAATCAATAATTTCGGTGATGAACAATTAATAGAGTCTATTACCTACTGGAAAGCATCTCCAATAAAGACGCGTACGCTAATGCTGAAGGAGAAAGATGAACGATTCCAGATAAATGATGAATAGCAGAGTTGCCAGCACCATAGCATTTTGAAAAATAAAAATTTTCAAGTTATTAGCACTTCTTACCAAACCAAAAAATGCTTTTGGTGTTACAGCACTGGAATACACTCCTATATTAAGAGTAGTGACTCGGATTTGTTCATTAAGCTGTTTAATTGCATAGTAACATTTATAAATTCGGTTTAAATTACATAATGTCAAAGCAGCAAATTGCACTTTATGCAGTATGAGAAAAAATACCCGTTCTCAAGTGAAACTCCTTTTTAGTGATAAATACAGGGTGGGCCATTTAAAGTGGAAGCATTTGTTTATAAAACAAAAATACATTTTCTGTTGTTCATTTGAAAAGTGTTTTATTTTGATCCAATGAGATTTGTTGTAATTACTTTTCAAAAATGATATCCCGCAAATGGCTACCTCTGGCCTTGATAACCCCTTTTTGGCGTTTTCCATCACGTTGGCCAATGTTTCGGCGGATATGGCGGCAATTTCTTGACGAATATTGTTCTTGAGGGCAGTTAGAGTCCATGGCTTGAGAGTGTATACCTTTCAAATACCCCCACAAATAAAAGTCTGGTGGCGTCAAATTAGGTGATCTCGGTGGCCAGTCAAAATCGCCATTTTTCGATATCAGTCGTCCAGGGAACAATTGTCACAATAAATTGATTGTTGCTTGAGCTGTGTGGCATGTGACGCCGTCCTGTTGGAACCAGTAATCGTCCACATCATTTTCACAAACAATTAGCCTCAAAAAATTTCATGGCTCGATAACGTTCACCATTGACGGTTACCGCAGCTCCATCATCGTCTTCAAAAAAATACGGGCCGATGACCATATTCGCGCACATACCGCACCAATCAGTACCTTTTTGGTCATAAAGAGGCTGCTGTTCGATTAATTGAGGGTTTTCGGTAGCATAAAAACGACAAATTTGTTTACTTACGCCTCCATGTAATGAAAAATGTGCCTCGCCAAAAGTCATCTTTATTTTCGGCCTTTTCAATGCTCCATTTAGCAAAATCAAAGCGACCCAGGATAATCAGCTGGGTTTAATTGATGAGCGATTTGAATTTTGTATCGAAACATCTTCAAATCCTTACGAATTTTGCGCCGGATAGTGGTTCGAGCGATGCCTAACTCTTGATAACGATGACGACCGGATGTTGATGGAGTCTCTTCAACAGTGGCTCGTACGACTTCGATATTTTCATCGTCTGGATAGGTGGCTGGCATTACTAAGACTAACGTAACAAATTTTGCGTATAAACGTCTGATAGTGTTATCAGCTAGAGCACTTTTAACTTTATTTTTTTTACGAAACGCAAGTTTAGTTTTCACGAATGAGAAGTTACTTTGAATGTACAACTGAATAATTTCAGCGCGTTGTTTTGGTGTGAACTGTTCCATGGTTAAAATTGTACAGAAATGATGCTTACAACGCGGTATGATATTAGTCGATCTGTCAACAAATGTCAAAGATATAGGGCTGCTTGATGCTTCCACTTTAAATAGCCCACCTTGTATAAGACTTTTTTAAATTTCGATAATTTGAGTTATAGCCAGCTTTCGAAAAATTTGAGACTTTTTTGGGACAGTCCAAAGATCAGAAAGATGCACAGAAAAATTCCCAAGATCAAAAATTGAGAATTTGACAAAGCTCCAAACTTCGCTAAAAAACATGACTTGCTTTGCTCACCCTGTATAAGTGGATAAATAAAAGAAACGTATCGGTCGAACCCTGTACTTGTTTTCAAAGAGCTGGTCAAGAACCTCCAGAATACCGCAACTCGATATCTCTTTCCGTTCCGAAAATATCGAGATTTCAATTTGGGTGAAATTGTCCACTAGTTTATATGAAGTATACTTTAAATATCCATACCAATGTTTTTAAAAGAAATGATCTGACAAAAATTTCTCAAGAGACCTTATATAAAGCCGTTAGCACTGCATGCTGAGAAAACTGTAACATAAAATTTTCTAAAGGGTGAATTTAAATCAATAAAATTTTCGTAGAACATTTATTTTTAAAATAAAGAAAAGAAGTTTAAAATGTATTTACTGTTGACATATATTGAAAGGGTATTTAACCCCAAAAAATTTTGTTCAGGAATTTTAAATTTCGTAAATTGGATTTTAATTTCAGCTAATTTAAGGTAAGTATCCCACTTTCATTTTTTTATTTTTAAACAGGATCAGAGATATTAATCTTGGTTTGCTCGTACATTTTTCAAGGACCATTGAAATCAATTTTTTTATTCCTTTATAACACCTACCATGCCATACGTCAGTCGGAACTGGCTGACCAGGGAACTAGGCTTTCCTAGCATCATTTTTTTCAGATTATCTTCATGTGGTATCATACCCAATTTACACAGAATTATAACAGTCCCCTCTTTATCCAGCCCTCTCCTCCCTGCTCTCCCAGCCATTTGAATGTATTCTGCAGGCTCTAAGTCTCTCAATTCTTTGCCATCATGTTTCCTGATTGAGTCGAAGATTACTGTTCTAGCTGGCATATTCACTCCCATAGCAAATGTTTCCGTGGCAAACAGCAACTGAAATACGTATTGAACAAAATTACTATCTTGTGGGCAACGCAGATAGTTTAATTGATTTGTTTGTCTTTAAAATAAACTGGAACACATTCATTTTTTTATATTTTATTTTACGATCGGTCAAATGGTTTTGGAAATATCGGCGAAAAACAAAAACTATCGAATTTTGTTTTTTGCCAATAAATCCGAACCGGTTAATTTGACAGCTGTCAAAATGTGACATTATTCGGACATTTTTTAAGGTAAATAAGATAGCGTGTATGACATATCTCAATCGTCTTTTGTTTTCTCTGCCTCAACTTTCATTTTTATTTCCGCAATATTGGATTTTTCAATTTTTGAAAAGAGCTTAAAATTTCCAGTCCAGTGATGTCTCACAAGTGCATAAAAGATTGGACACACTTATAGTTGGGAATTTTTCCCAAAACATTTGACATTAATATTCTATTGAGAATTCAAGGCGGAAGTGCTAGCCAAGATCTTTGCTGCCAACTCCACCATGGTCGTCCCCACCAACGCCCAAGTGCCGTCAATTCAAAGGGTTCCACACACTATGCGGGAGGTGACATTCAGGCATAAGACCGTAAGACGAGTGCTCTTGTCGCTCGACATCAACAAAGCTTCTGGTCCGGACTTAATTCCTGCCATTGTACTGAAGAGATGTGCAGCGGAGCTTGCTCCAGTTCTTTCGCGTCTCTTCCAGATATCTTATGAATCCGGCACCTTCCCAGAAAACTGGAAATTTGCTCATGTACAGCCCATCCCAAAAAAAGGATCTAAGACCGACCCTTACAACTACAGGCCTATAGCTCTGCTTTCTGTTATAAGTAAAGTGATGGAGAGGTGCATAAATCGCGAGCTTCTGGACTACCTCGAACGTCACAGCTTGATTAGCGACAGGCAGTACGGTTTCCGGCACCAACGATCCACAGGGGACCTCCTAGCTTATCCAGTCTCATGGTGAGGCTCATGTCGTTGCTCTTGACATCACGAAAGCGTTCGATCAGCTGTGGCACGCTGCCCTCTTAAGCAAACTTCCATCCTATGGCCTCCCAGAAAAGCTTTGCAGACGGGTGACTGACTTTATCTCTGGCCGCAAGATATCCGTCGTAATTGACGGATTCTCCTCTTCATCCGACAACGTCAATGCGGGTGTTCCCCAGGGATCGGTCTTGGCTCCAACACTGTTTCTCTTACATATCAACGACCACCTTTCCCGCACGATCAACCCAATCCACAGCTTCGCTGATGACAGCACTCTACATGCAGGAATTCAGAGTGACAAGCCGATCTCTGCCGCTGAGCTGGAAAAAAGAAGACTAGCGACGACTTCTTCTCTGACAAGAGACCTGGAGGCTATCACTGCTTGGGGACGCAACAATCTTGTACAGTTCAATGCTTCCAAAACACAGTACTGTACTTTGACGAACAAAAAGCGTCCTAGCGCCCATACAGTTTCGATGGACGGCCGAGTTCTACCAAAGAGCCATTCATTTCGGCTGGTCGGAGTCCAGATCACCGATCTGGCACGAACACATCTCTTCAATAGCTGCAGCTGCTGGGAAAAAGCTAGGCTATTTGTTTAGGGCTAAGAAGTACTTTTCTCCGCATGACCTTCTCACTCTATACAAGGCCCAGATAAGGCCTAGCCTCGAGTATTGCTCACACATTTGGGGTGCTGCCGCCCCGACTACATTGTCCATGCTCGATGCTGTCCAGAGGAGGGCGGTCCGACTGATCGATGACTCTTCTCTAACAGACAGTCTCGGGACTCTTTCGCACCGGCGGGTCGTCGACGATCTAGCTCTTTTCTATCGCTACACCAGCGGGCTTTGCCCCTCAGAGCTCTCTTCCATGATGCCGCCGCGCGATGTGCCTGCCAGACAGACCCGCCTGACTTCGGCGTCGCATCCTAACCGTGTCACACTTCGTACATCCAGAACTGGCCGATACGACCGCTCCTTTGTCCCAAGGGTGTCTAGATTGTGGAACAATCTACGGGAGGAAGCTTTTCCCAGTTCTACTGACCTTAGGCAGTTCAAAAATCGTATTAAAAAAATTTCTTTGGGATCATCATAGCAGCCGCGGTGTTCCGGCATTTAGGCTTCTGCCTGCGCGGCTGTTTCGATATAAAAAAAATAAAAATAAAAAAAAAACAAAAACTATCGAATTTTGTTTTTTGCCAATAAATCTGAACCGGTTAATTTGACAGCTGTCAAAATGTGATATTATTCGGACATTTTTTAAGGTAAATAAGATAGCGTGTATGACATATCTCAATCGTCTTTTGTTTTCCCTGCCTCAACTTTCATTTTTATGGCCGCAATATTGGATTTTTCAATTTTTGAAAACAGCTTAAAATTTCCAGTCCAGTGATGTCTCACAAGTGCATAAAAGATTGGACACACTTATAGTTGGGAATTTGTCCCAAAACATTTGACATTAATATTCTATTGAGAATTCAAGGCGTTTATGTGTTTTTTATGCATTACTCATTAATGTTATTCTCTGACAAATAAATCGTGGCCTCCTTAGAAAAAAACTAATACATAACAAACATCACGTGTGATGATATTAGGATGAAACTCCAATCTTTTATGCACTTGTGAGACATCACTAGACTGGAAATTTTACACTCTTTGCAAAAATGAAAAAATCCAATATGGCGGCCATAAGAAAAATGAAAGTTGAGGAGGTTTGCTGGAAAACAAAAGACGATTGAGACATGTCATACATGCTGTCTTATTTTTCTTGAAAAATGTCCGAATCATGTCACATTTTGAGAGCTGTCAGATTAACCGTTTTGGATTTACTGGTAAAAAACAAATTCTGCCATTTTAGGTTATTTTCAAAACCAATCGACATCCCCATTTAACCTGTGCTGTAGGTTAACAGGAGCCGAGATCCCTGTATAGAGAAGAAAATCTGAGACACACTATGTATATGCGAGCCGTAGTCATTATTGTTCAAATAAACAGTTAGGTGATTAGGTCTTTAGTTGGGTACTTCGATAAATTAGAGTAAAGGGTACTCTTATTACTTAATTTCTGTAGCTTTAGATGAACTTTGTCATCATCATCAGGAGCTATAAAACATCTGAAAAACAGCAACTACATGTGCATTATTGATTTTAAATTAGTTTTGTTGCTAAAGTTAATGAGAAGACTTAATAGCCTGATGAAAGCTAGGTAGCAGTCCTTAAGGTTTTGTAAAATTGCACCTAGCTTTGTGCCAGAAAAACATCACAACGGATTAAAAGCTTAAATCAATAACCAAAAAATTTAACAATCAATCTTTAAGTTCTCCATATTCGTTTCCTCCGGTAACACCCGTATCCGGATATATGAGCATGTGTGCCTACTTTTGTAGTTGCATATGTGTAATCATTTCGGGCCTAATGAAGCCAACAAGCAGAAGTACGTATTGCTCGGATTACCTATCCTATTTTCTGCTCGAATCCACTTTACTTCTTTTTGCGGATTTCGCCCATTACTTTTTCTATTTGTTATATACCTTTCTCCGCATGATCCTTTTCTTTTTGTAGATCCTTTGGGGTTGGGCCGCGTGGTTGTAGTAAGATGTTGCCTTGAAAATTCGAGGTCTTCTGGCCATTATACTACAATGTGTAGGTTGGCTCTTGTTGGGGACTTCATATGACGTTTTGTTCCCTCTCCATCATCTCTGTTTCCTCAGGTTACACCCGTATCCAGATGTATGGGCATGTGTGTCTACTTTTGTAGTTGCATATGTGCATTCATTGCGAGCCTAATGAAGCCAAAAAGCAGAAATACGTATTGCTCGGGTTACCTATCTTATTTTCTGCTCGAATCTACTGCGGATTTCGCCCATTATTTTTTCTATTTGTTATATACAGGGTGATTCACAAGTCGTGACCAAAAATGAAACATCATACACAGGACCGCAGTTTAAGGGGGGTCTTCTATATAACATTTTTTTCTCGTGTTCAAGTTTAAAAATAAAAAAACATTTTTTTTAATATCTTCAAAACCGTCAACTGTGATTAACTAAAATTTGGTATGTGGATTTATCTAAGTATTGTCTACATTCAAAAGTATTTACTTAAAATTAACGTGCACCAGTGGCGGAGATATAGGGGATTGGTGGCATTATTTTTCCAAATGAAAATAGTACGGCACTATTTTTTTTGAAACGCGCAATTTTTCGAATTTTACCTTCAATTTGCTACAAATAATTAATTTTGTGTTTTTTTCTTAGATTGCACTGTTTTCGTAAAAATAACAAAATGACGTTTCTTGGGAGTTAGTTTGTCAAAGTTGTGTTATACGGGTGTTATCGTTACTACTACCATTTTTTTTTTGTAAAAGTCAAGTCAAAAGTTTCTTTTTTCCATTTTTGAGTATTGTGAATTGGAATTTAACAATGATGAGTACGCCGATATTATTTTTGTGAACGGGTTCTGTAATGGAAATAATGCTTTACCGGTTTCTCGGGAGTATCTACGTAGTTTTTTTAACAGACGCCAACCTACCCCAAAGTTTTTTACGCATTCATTTCTAAGACATCAGCAATATGGAATTGTCAAACTTCCCAGAGTTAGAGGCCATGGTGTCCGGCATACTGTTCAAGAGGAACTGGAAGTGATTAATTTGGCGTTGGATGATCCTAGTACAAGTACTAGGCAGATTGCAGCCCAGTCACCATGTTCCCAAAGTCTTGCCTGGAGAATTTTAAATCTGGAAGTTTTACATCCTTACCATCGGCAAGCTGTGCAATGTCAGCAACCCGGCGACGGCCAAATTTTTGTGAGTGGTTACTGCAAATGCATAATCGAAATGCAGATTTTATTGATTTGGTTTTGTGGTTAGATGAATCGCTTTTTACGAGGAGTGGAACCTTTAATTCTCATAATGAACATAATTTGGTCGTTAGTGTGGTGGTTCAGAGTGGTTCGATAGTCTATTGGTTTCTTCGTACAGCCTGTTTGCTGACAATCAGCAACTTGATAGTCGACAAGTCATGACCTAGTTTACGCAGTTAGCAGTCACTGACACGTCGCTGACTGTATTAATTGCGTACATGAGAACGTTACGAGTTGGCTGAGGGAGGTCTGGCCGATTACCGACACTAATCCGCTGTTCGTACAGAAACTTCTGACTGTTTTATGACTGTCAAATCAGTCAGCAGATAATTTTCCAGTAAATTGTCAGAGCTCGAAATCAAGTACAATAATTATACGAATGTAAAATTTTTCACAATGAAGTAGACAATTTTGAAAAAGTTATGGGTTCATTTGCTGTAAACCAGAATGATCTACGATATTTCGTCCAACTGTTCAAATGTGCCCGAATTTTCCTTTAGAGAGGAAAACATGGACACTTTCTAGAAAAAATAACAGCACCCAAAAATGTCAAGTAGATTTACTCAGTAATTACCATTCAATTCTCATATATATAAAGTATAAACATAAATTCGGAGAAATATGATTCCACACATCGAATGACAAGTTGAAGAAGTAAATACAGAGTAAGAATTCTGAATAAACGTCTGCAGGGATTATGCACGAGAAATGTACAAAGTATTGTGAATTACTTTTAATAAAACTCGGATAGTACGGTTTTTGTTCCCTGTTCCCTTGACGCCCAGCCTCGAAGTGTATGCACAAACAGTATTTATATATTCTAGCTATGTGTAAGTCCAACCCAAAGCTGACGAAAAAATAAACAAAATAACGAATTCTGGAGATTTTGTGATACAGCTTTTTCTCACGGGTGCCCATGGAGAGGGAATGACTGTTTGTGCTGGGGTGAATATTTTCCCTATACAGGGTATTTTAAATTCGACCCTAGTCATTGGGATCTCGGAAACTTCAAGGGATACGAAGTAACTTAAATAGGGGCAAAGTTGAGTATTCAGATAATCAGCAAAATGTCGCTTAGAAAGTTTTGAAATCGAAAGTACTTCGGGAAAGAGACGTAAAGAACGAAATTTCCTAAAATGGTTTTAATCTTCTCCTGACTTTATTTGTGGTGGAATTTCAAAATAAATTGCACATAAACAATTAGAATTTCAATATGACGTTTCGACTCTTGTCCTCCAACATCAACTTAATTTTTTCTTATAGACGCCATATTGGATTCTTACACATATGAATAGAATTTTTATTCTGATTTAAAAAATGTATGTCATACATTGACATTGCAAAACCTTAGTTATTCCAGAAGTTCCTAGGTAGGCCTTGAAATTATTAGGTTTCATTTGTTTGCATAGCAACAGAGTTTGGAAGACTGTGAATACCTCTGCCTATTTATGGTTATTATTGTTATTAGCATCAATAAAATTTTCATTTCGTATTCAGGTTTCACCATATCTTTTTATTTCCTTTTAATTTTCATCCAACAACAAATATATGGTCACCTAACAATCACTGAATTACAGTAACAATGACAATATGCAATTTATTTTGAAATGGAAATCCTCGGGACAAAGGACCGGTCTTATCGGCCAGTTCTGGATGTACGAAGTTCGATACGCTTACGATGGGAGGCCAAAGTCAGGTAGACACATCGCGGGGCGACACCATGGAAGAGAGCTCTGAGGAGCAAAGCCCGTTGGCGCAGCTAGATCGCCAACGGCGCTTTGTAAAGTTCATTAAACGCCTCTTACGAAGCAATTTTAGTCCTCAAGGTAGTTCCGACACACTCTGATACCTCTCACTGTCACTGGTTGACTGGTGTCCTCTGATCTGCCAGAAGGTTCTCTACGAACAGCGGATTAGCTGCCGGCAAACATTCAGAAACTGTTCGAACAGGTAACATCCCTCTGATTCTGATTTTGACAGTCACCGACAAGTTACCGCCTACTGTGCGAATAAACCATATTGGTGCTTAAATTTGATTTTATAAAGTGTGGATGGGAAGACATGGTAGGATGATCAAAAACTGTATTCATGAGGATCTTTTTGGAAAGTCGGTGAGATACATACTAAAAAACTACAAACGGTTTTGGAAAAACTTACTGATTAATTAATTTCTAAAACTCTTCTATTACACATATTAGAATAAGCTCAAATTGCTGACATGCTAACCTAGTTGATGTAAAAGCATTGTTTTAAAAAAGGATTCAATTGATTATCGATCTTGTTCCTTGTTTTTTTATACCTTTTACATGATACCACCACTCACGCCTACGGAGGGCGTGACATGATTGTTTTAGGTTAAAGTGGGCGTAACACAAATTACTTTGAGATCCCATGCTTTAGAGATATGAAAGATGAAAGCTCTTCAGATATAATTTACCTTTATAAGTCCTTTTTGAAACAGCATTTCAACAATTTCCTTTATAATCGGTAATATACCACTGTGGTGTACACCAATACCCCTGGTTAAAATATCTCTCATAGTAACGATCTGCGGAATATTGCGGTCGGGTTCTTTCAAATACCTGATACACTTGTTAAAGAAGAGAGAAATATGAGATTTCTCTTTTTGGGTGGTCAGATCTAAGTTGGTCAAGTTCGCTCCGTTATTGTCACATTTTTGCCTGGAAAATGTGAAGGCTACCACTGGCAATAGGTCGTGCTTCTTCAGATGACTCACTAGACCTGTCCATAGTGTCTTATCTTGAGCGGGAGTCATTTTCTGGTACACGTTTGATGTTTCTTTGTCTGCTACTGATTCCTTTGCTTTGAGGTATCTACAAATTTTACACAGCAAATTATAAATTGTGACACGTTCTTTAAAAATGAGCTAGAGAAATACGTTGTGTTTGTCTAAGAATTTTTACTGTCGATGAAATATTCCTTCAATTTTATTTGGAACATCTTTAAATTTCATTCAGACTTTATATTATTATTTAGTTTATTAAATTCAAGTAATCCTTTCAGAAATATCGATTTGCTATGATTTATCCAACGAACATACGGAGTAATAAATCATCTGACCGGCACGCGCCTCGTTCCTATTGGTCCGTTTTCGGTAGATAAGCCGCCAAGTTCACAATAGCACTATAATTATTTCCGAAGATCTGTGACATGCGGTTGAATTTTATTTTGTGTGCTTTATTTATTTCTGTGAGACAACTTTGAAAAGGATATTTCGACATGAGTGCCTGATTAGACGAGGGCAAATTACCAAGAAAACGGACAAAAAGAGATTTGTCGGTTTCTGAAAAAGAAACTATTATAAATATTTCTATAGCTTCCCGGGAGCGCTATCCAAATGAAACTCAGACAGAACGTGTAGCCTTTGTTTCAAGAGCATCAGGTGAGGATTTAGCTTTGAAATATAATTTAAAATGTTTTGTAGTTTGATGTATTATTCTAAATAACTAACACTAAATATGATAGCTACTTCTATTGCACACATTTTGATTTTTAAAACTTATTTTCAATTATTTTTATTATTTATTAATGCATGTATATATATAATATATGCAAAATGTATTAATTTCTTTTCAGGAGCATCAAGTAGCAGTGTATATAAAATTTTAGCAGAGCACAAAAGAAGCAACAGTCTTTCTCCTCCCAAAGGTTACCATAGAGCCAGAGTTGTTTTGGACAACGTTTCACAAGAAACTAAGGCATTAATCCGAAGAAAAATCCACGAATTTTTCTTCCGAAACGAACCACCCACATTGCACAAAATTTTGTTAACAATAAACGACGACGACAACTTGCCAGACTTCAAAAGATCGACGTTGGCTACATTGATGAAGGAACTTATTTTTCGGCAAGTGTTGTTCAAAATAATTATATCGAAGCAGCCGCGCAGGCAGAAGCCTAAATGCCGGAACACCGCGGCAGCTATGATTTTGTTAATACGATTCTTGAACTGCCTAAGGTTGGTAGAACTGGGAAAAGCTTCCTCTTGTAGATTGTTCCACAATCTAGACACCCTCGGGACAAAGGAGCGGTCGTATCGGCCAGTTCTGGATGGACGAAGTTTGACACGGTTAGGATGGGACGCCGAAGTCAGGCGGGTCTGTCTGGCAGGCACATCGCGCGGCGGGATCATGGAAGAGAGCTCTGAGGAGCAAAGCCCGTTGGTGTAGCGATAGAAAAGAGCTAGATCGCCGACGACCCGCCGGTGCGAAAGAGTCCCGAGACTGTCTGTTAGAGAAGAGTCATCGATCAGTCGGACCGCCCTCCTCTGGACAGCATCGAGCATGGACAATGTAGTCGGGGCGGCAGCACCCCAAATGTGTGAGCAATACTCGAGGCTAGGCCTTATCTGGGCCTTGTATAGAGTGAGAAGGACACGCGGAGAAAAGTACTTCTTAGCCCTAAACAAATAGCCTAGCTTTTTCCCAGCAGCTGCAGCTATTGAAGAGATGTGTTCGTGCCAGATCAGGTCCTCGGTGATCTGGACTACGACCAGCCGAAATGAATGGCTCTTTGGTAGAATTCGACCGTCCATCGAAACTGTATGAGCGCTAGGACGCTTTTTGTTCGTCAAAGTACAGTACTGTGTTTTGGAAGCATTGAACTGTACAAGATTGTTGCGTTCCCAACCTGGAGGCTAGGTCTCTTGTCAGAGAAGAAGTCGTCGCTAGTCTTCTTTTTTCCAGCTCAGCGGCAGAGATCGGCTTGTCACTCTGAATTCCTGCATGTAGAGTGCTGTCATCAGCGAAGCTGTGGATTGGGTTGATCGTGCAGGAAAGGAGGTCGTTGATATGTAAGAGAAACAGTGTTGGAGCCAAGACCGATCCCTGGGGAACACCCGCGTTGACGTTGTGGGATGAAGACGAGAATCCGTCAATTACGACGGATATCCTGCGGCCAGAGATAAAGTCAGCCACCCATCTGCAAAGCTTTTCTGGGAGGCCATAGGATGGAAGTTTGCTTAAGAGGGCAGCGTGCCACAACTGATCGAACGCTTTCGTGATATCAAGAGCAACGACATGAGCCTCACCATAAGACTGGATGAGTTTACTCCACAACTGCGTGACGTAAGCTAGGAGGTCCCCTGTGGATCGTTGGTGCCGGAAACCATACTGCCTGTCGCTAATCAAGCTGTGACGTTCGAGGTAGTCCAGAAGCTCGCGATTTATACACCTCTCCTCATCACTTTACTTATAACAGAAAGCAGAGCTATAGGCCTGTAGTTGTAAGGGTCGATCTTAGATCCTTTTTTTGGGATGGGCTGGACATGAGCAAATTTCCAGTTTTCTGGGAAGGTGCCGGATTCATAAGATATCTGGAAGAGACGCGAAAGAACTGGAGCAAGCTCCGCTGCACATCTCTTCAGTACAATGGCAGGAATCAAGTCCGGACCAGAAGCTTTGTTGATGTCGAGCGACAAGAGCACTCGTCTTACGGTCTTATGCCTGAATGTTACTTCCCGCATAGTGTGGGGAACCCTTTGAAATGACGGCACTTGGGCGTTGGTGGGGACGTCCATGGTGGAGTTGGCAGCAAAGATCTTGGTTAGCACTTCCGCCTTGGCCTTTGAGTCGAATACAATAGTTCCATCCTGACACGTAAGTGGTGGAAGGCTACTGTGTGAGAAGTTCTTTTCAATCTGCTTGGCCAGCGTCCAGAAAGACGGACTGCCATTGCGCTGCGACATTACCCTGTGCCTAACTTTTATATCCTGCTGGTTTTTGCCATTGCGAACCGCTTCGTTATATTTGTTTCTGGACTCGACGTCGGCTTGTCTGTTCTCTACAGTGGGGTTTTGTAAGTAGGTTATGTGGGCCTTGATCTTCTGCTGGCGAGCAGTGTCACACGATTTGTTGAACCAGCCGTTGGACCCTGGTTTAGGAACTTTCACTGTGTGAGGGATGTATTCCTCCATTCCGACGTGGATAATTTTGGTTATTGAAGAACAGACAGTCGACGCATCCGCGTCAGTGAAACAGACATCTCTCCAAGGAAGCTAGAGAAGAAGTCTCTGAGCGGCCTGTATGAGTTTCTGCTGCCACAGCGGGTTCTGACCGAAACCTAACCTCCACAACACCGTGGTCCGAGTTACCCAGGGGGGACAGGACAGCAGTGCTGTAAGGGACATGATGCATTGAAATCGCCGAGAAGAACTACCTTTGAAGCGGGGTGATTGATGTTCAGGAAGTCGATCTGGACGGCGAGGTATTCGAGTAGGTCATCCCAGTTATGGGAGAGCGATAAAGGCAGCAAATAAATTTGGGTGATGTTTTGGAGTTGAGGCGAAGCCACAGATTGTCCTTCCGGTCTGATTCCAAAGAAAGATCCCTGGAGCAGGAAAGACTGCTGCGGACAAAAGCCACAACTCCCCCGTTCTTTCTCAGATTGGAGTGCACCTCGTAGTTTGGGAAGTTGAGATGGTTAATCGGTGCAGTCTCTGAGATTTTTGTCTCCGCCAAGAAAAGCACGGCGGGACGATTGGATTGCAGGTAGTGATGAACAGCATCAATTTTGCTGTTAATCCCGCAGATGTTCGAAAAACAAATTTTATCTTCGATGTTGTTCCCTCGAGCCCACCCTCCACCCGGACATTCCGAGAGTGGAGTGAGTTTACTTCCGGAGTATTAAATAGACCTAAAGTGGCCCGTTGGCGGACTTGTACCGCCACCCGGCAATCGGTACTAACGCGTGTACAATCACTTGGACGGAAGAAGTTGTATACTGGATACAACAACTTCCGGAACAAGCATTTGCCACGGCCATCGCTCGGTAGGGGTCAGTAGGGGGGGATAACTAAAAAAATCCGTAAAATGTTCACACACAAAAATAGTTTAGAGTTTTTTATCATTCTTTATGACTAAACTAAATTTGCAATTTTGTTAAGATGAATCACCTGAAATTCGTTATTCGTATAATATGGTTCATTGAATTAACGAATTTAAAGATTTAATGTAATTTTTAGTTTTGTAGGAAGGAAGCGAAGTAGCATCTTGAAAGAAAAGGACGAGATAATATGTTGGAGATGTAGATTCTTACGCGAACTCTGGAAGTATAGAGAAGAAGGCAGGAAGATATACTACCTAGACGAGACTTGGCTCAATGGAGGGCACACTGTTAGCAAAGTATGGGTGGATTCATCAGTTGAGCATCCTCGGCAAGCCTTCCTGTAAGGTCTCTCCACGGGATCAAAAAATCCTTCAGGAAAAGGAAAACGGCTAATTATCTTACACATCAATTCTGATAATGGCTTCGTGGAAGACGGACTATTGGTATTTGAATCAAAACAAGCAGGAGACTACCACGCCCATATGAATGCCAATTTATTTGAGGAATGGTTTGAAAATATTATAAGCCGTCTAGAAGAGAACGCTGTCATGGACAATACTTCATACCATAGTAGGCGTATTGATAAAGCAACAAACAGAAAAGGGGAAATACAGAATTGGCTACGAAGGCATGATGTTCCCTTTGACAACGATATGGTCAAAGCAAAACTTTTAAATCTGGTCAAGGGCAATAAAAGTGCTGGCAAGTATGTCATCGACGAAACGGCTAAATCTACCAATCGGACTATTCCACGCCTGCCTCCTTACCATTGCGAGTTTAACCCAATCGAGTTAATTTGGGCGCAAATTAAAAACGAAGTTTCCAGAAAAAACACAACTTTCAAGATCGCAGATGCAACGCAGCTTTTTTACACCGCTGTACAAAATGTAACTCCGGAAAATTGGAAAAAAGCAATCGAACATGTTGAGAAGGAGGAAGAAAAAATGTGGACAACTGAATGTATGGAAAGAGTGGTTGAATCAGTGATTATTAACTTAGGAAACGATTCAGAATATTCAGATTATACTGATAGTGATAGCGATTAGTTAATAAATGTAATTTGTATATTTATTGGATAATGACGAAGGACCTATATCCCTGAACATACTTATATAATTACCATGATTATTTCTACGGCTCTATCCCGATAGACTTCAAAGTATGTTATCCCAGGATTACCCATGATTGGGATAATCCACTTCAAAGTCTATCCGGATAGAGCCGACGAAATAATCGTGGTAATGAATGCAGGTAGATTAATTATTAGGTATTATATTATCCAGAATCCAATCTAAAAAAGAATTTAATTTTTGAGTCCTTTTCTTTATTTTTTTCCCATGTATTAAAATAATTTTTGTAATATAAAAAATATATAAAGTTAACGAATCATAAACTGGTTCAACATATTTAATATATCAATGTAATAAACCTTATAGCACCTTGAACGTAATGAAAAGATAGAAGAAACAGTGCAAATAAATTAAATGGTACCTCAATTAATTTTAAAACCTACACGCCACTGGCGATAACGCATTATCGGTTTTGCAGGTAGTTGTGCGGTGTAAATCGGGCTGCCCTGTCATTTGTTTTATTACCCCGTACGTTCCTTGGATAGATTAAAGTTATATTACTATTGTAATTTTGTAAATGAAAATCTATATTTCCTCTTGTATAATAATTAAGGTAATGATTATTCAATTCTATGTAGTGTTCTAAATGTTGTGGCAAAAGATAGATATAAAAATATGAACCAAATATGATGTGAAATTTTTTGTATTCAACCACTGCAATTCTTGTAACATAGATTTTATTTTGGTGTACTTATTTTTATTCAATATTATTCCCACAGCTTTATTTTGCAGGACTTGTAATATTGAGAATACAGCTTCATTGGCAGTGAACAAGACCGTTGAACAATATAGTAAATGCGGTAGAATAATTGCATTATAAACTATTTTTTTAATATGTACTAAGACTATGAAAAGCCCTATAAAAGTGATTTAGTTTTGTTGGCAATTTTTAAAATGTATTCAAATTGGTCACAAAATACTGCAGTTAATACAACGTTACTTTAATCACAGTTTAGTGTCTGCAAAATCATAAAAATTAAACGCTTAATTTTTAATTAACGAAATCCACTTACGCGCTCATTAGCCATTTATCTGCGTCCAAGATTTTAAATCTGTTGTCTCTAGAACTTCCTCCTTTTCCCGTGTATAAGTAATGTTGGAGTGGTACAGGTCTTTTGTAAGTAGTTACCACGTAAACCTTCCGTTGATGCGTTCTCCCCAGCCAATCAGCAAACTCAATAGTGTTGGGCACAGTTGCGCTGAGTAAAATCACACACACGTGCGCAGGAAGCATGATGAGTACCTGCTCCCACACATGGCCACGTTCTCTATCGTTTATGTAGTGTACCTGAGAACGTACTTGGTTATCATTAATTATAATAATAATAATAATTCACGTCTTTGCCGAAGTTTAGCTTGAAGGTATTCTGCGACTTAACTTAACTCAGAAGCTAGTTTGAAAAAAATACTTCTACTCGCCCGTAATGTGTTTAGTAACGTTAAATACTGGCGAGGAAGTATTGTAATCGTTCACTTTCGTGGATCTGTCTGTCTAATTCTTGAACCGTCTATAACTTAAACTACTTCTCCGATTTGGATGAAATTTTCTCACATGTTACTATTATGCCAAGAACGAAAAATATTGAGGGATATCCTCATATTAGCACAAGGGCATTATCCCCTGAGATGGGCATATCACGAACAACGGTTCAAAATATTTTGAAGAACCATAGGTAAGTTCCAATGGCCATCAAAATATATCGATTTTTTGCGTTTAACTTTTTTTTAATTACTGTTAGAATGCACCCTTATCATGTCGTTTTGCATCCGGCCTTGAAAGGGGACGACTTTGATCGGAGGTTGGACTATTGCCATTGGATCTTAGGCATGATACGCGACAATAGAGAATTTTTATTTCACATTCTTTGGACCGACGAAGCCACCTTTAATAGTTTTTTTTTATATCGAAACAGCCGCGCTGGCAGAAGCCTAAATGCCGGAACACCGCGGCTGCTATGATGATCCCAAAGAAATTTTGTTAATACGATTTTTGAACTGCCTAAGGTTAGTAGAACTGGGAAAAGCTTCCTCCCGTAGATTGTTCCACAACCTAGACACCCTCGGGACAAAGGAGCGGTCGTATTGGCCAGCTCTGGACGTACGAAGTTTGACACGGTTAGGATGGCACGCCGAAGTCAGGCGGGTCTGTCTGGCAGGCGCATCGCGCGGCGGCATCATGGAAGAGAGCTCTGAGGAGCAAAGCCCGTTGGTGTAGCGATAGAAAAGAGCTAGATCGCCGACGGCCCGCCGGTGCGAAAGAGTCCCGAGAATGTCTGTTAGAGAAGAGTCATCGATCAGTCGGACCGCCCTCCTCTGGACAGCATCGAGCATGGACAATGTAGTCGGGGCGGCAGCACCCCAAATGTGTGAGCAATACTCGAGGCTAGGCCTTATCTGGGCCTTGTATAGAGTGAGAAGGTCATGCGGAGAAAAGTACTTCTTAGCCCTAAACAAATAGCCTAGCTTTTTCCCAGCAGCTGCAGCTATTAAAGAGATGTGTTCGTGCCAGATCAGGTCCTCGGTGATCTGGACTCCGACCAGCCGAAATGAATGGCTCTTTGGTAGAACTTGACCGTCCATCGAAACTGTATGAGCGCTAGGACGCTTTTTGTTCGTCAAAGTACAGTACTGTGTTTTGGAAGCATTGAACTGTACAAGATTGTTGCGTCCCCAAGCAGTGATAGCCTCCAGGTCTCTTGTCAGAGAAGAAGTCGTCGCTAGTCTTCTTTTTTCCAGCTCAGCGGCAGAGATCGGCTTGTCACTCTGAATTCCTGCATGTAGAGTGCTGTCATCAGCGAAGCTGTGGATTGGGTTGATCGTGCAGGAAAGGAGGTCGTTGATATGTAAGAGAAACAGTGTTGGAACCAAGACCGATCCCTGGGGAACACCCGCGTTGACGTTGTGGGATGAAGAGGAGAATCCGTCAATTACGACGGATATCTTGCGGCCAGAGATAAAGTCAGCCACCCATCTGCAAAGCTTTTCTGGGAGGCCGTAGGATGGAAGTTTGCTTAAGAGGGCAGCGTGCCATAGCTGATCGAACGCTTTCGTGATGTCAAGAGCCTCACCCTGAGACTGGATAAGCTAGGAGGTCCCCTGTGGATCGTTGGTGCCGGAAACTGTACTGCCTGTCGCTAATCAAGCTGTGACGTTCGAGGTAGTCCAGAAGCTCGCGATTTATGCACCTCTCCATCACTTTACTTATAACAGAAAGCAGAGCTATAGGCCTGTAGTTGTAAGGGTCGGTCTTAGATCCTTTTTTTTGGGATGGGCTGTACATGAGCAAATTTCCAGTTTTCTGGGAAGGTGCCGGATTCATAAGATATCTGGAAGAGACGCGAAAGAACTGGAGCAAGCTCCGCTGCACATCTCTTCAGTACAATGGCAGGAATCAAGTCCGGACCAGAAGCTTTGTTGATGTCGAGCGACAAGAGCACTCGTCTTACGGTCTTATGCCTGAATGTTACTTCCCGCATAGTGTGGGGAACCCTTAGAAATGACGGCACTTGGGCGATGGTGGGGACGTCCATGGTGGAGTTGGCAGCAAAGATCCTGGCTAGCACTTCCGCCTTGGCCTTTGAGTCGAATACAATAGTTCCATCCTGACACGTAAGTGGTGGAAGGCTACTGTGTGAGAAGTTCTTTTCAATCTGCTTGGCCAGCGTCCAGAAATACCGACTGCCATTGCACTGCGACATTACCCTGTGCCTAACTTTTATATCATGCTGGTTTTTGGCATTGCGAACCGCTTCGTTATATTTGTTTCTGGACTCGACGTCGGCTTGTCTGTTCTCTACAGTGGGGTTTTGTAAGTAGGTTCTGTGGGCCTTGATCTTCTGCTGGCGAGCAGTGTCACACGATTTGTTGAACCAGCCGTTGGACCCTGGTTTAGGAACTTTCACTGTGTGAGGGATGTATTCCTCCATTCCGACGTGGATAATTTCGGTTATTGAAGAACAGACAGTCGACGCATCAGCGTCAGTGAAACAGACATCTCTCCAAGGAAAGCTAGAGAAGAAGTCTCTGAGCCCCTCCCAGTCGGCATGTCCGTAATGCCAAGTTTTGCGGCCTGTGCGAGTTTCTGCTGCCACAGCGGCTTCTGACCGAAACCTAACCTCCACAACACCGTGATCTGAATTACCCAGGGGGGACAGGACAGCAGTGCTGTAAGGGGCAGGATGCGTGGCCAGAAAGAGATCTAGCAGGCTACTGGCGTGTGACGAGACGCGGGGGAAAAAAGTAGGGCTCGTCACCAGCTGGGTCAGCCCTTGAGTAAGAGCGAACGCTTCGACTGCACGACCTGCTGCATCGGTCTTATTTGAGCCCAACCAAAGCTCATTATGGGCATTGAAATCACCGAGAAGAACTACCTCTGAAGCGGGGTGATTGATGTTCAGGAAGTCGATCTGGACGGCGAGGTATTCGAGTAGGTCATCCCAGTTATGGTTCGAGGGAGAGCGATAAAGGCAGCAAATAAATTTGGGTGACGTTTTGGAGTTGAGGCGAAGCCACAGAATGTCCTTCCGGTCTGATTCCAAAGAAAGATCCCTGGAGCAGGAAAGACTGCTGCGGACAAAAGCCACAACTCCCCCGTTCTTTCTCAGATTGGAGTGCACCTCGTAGTTTGGGAAGTTGAGATGGTTAATCGGTGCAGTCTCTGAGATTTTTGTCTCCGCCAAGAAAAGCACGGCGGGACGATTGGATTGCAGGTAGTAATGAACAGCATCAATGTTGCTGTTGATCCCGCAGATGTTCGAAAAACAAATTTTATCTTCGATGTTGTTCCCTCAAGCCCACCCTCCACCCGGACATTCCGAGAGTGGAGTGAGTTTACCTCCGGAGTTTTTAGTGCTCGAGGGATCCATCATCATTAATTTCTTTGTTTTGGTGACGGAAGAGTCAATCTGCACACTATGCATTATTCGTCTGCAGAAAATTCGCGTTGGTTGCGTGGAGTTCAGCACCGAGGGCGTTGGAGTTTAAATGTGTGGTGTGGCATACTCGGAGGCAGAATTATTTGGCCATATTTTTTCGAGCAATCCCTAACTGGCAATGTCTTTGTTGACTTTTTTGACAATGAATTACCGTTGTTGTTGGAAGATGTGCCACTGGAAACATGGCAATACTTGTTTTGCAGTTTGATAGTTTCCCAGCACATTTTGCTTTTATTGTGCGAGAACATATTAATGCAGTGTGACAACAGGGGTGAAAAAGCAAGTCTGATCCCATGGCCTCCGCAATCACCAGACTTAACTTGTCTTGATTTTTATTTATCGGGACAGTTAAATGACATCGTGTCTCAGACTCAACCAGAGAATATATGAAAAACCAGATTCGTAGTACAATTCGTAACATACCTAGATCCGGAACTGAAGCTGCAGTTTTGTTTAGCCATGAGAGGTTTCAGGAATGCATAGTTCGTGATGGTCATCTATTCGAGCATTTACAGGGGCATTAAAAACCTTTCTTTTTTAAATCTGTTTTGTTTTTTAGGGACAAGTTAATAATAAACAGATGTTCCAGAAAAATTAGTTTAAAAAAATAAAAATTTAAGGAAATTCCGTATAAAATTTTCTTTGACCTAAATTTTAGGTTAGGAACCAGATATCGGAATGCGGTTTTCGCGAGCTTGTTTACCTACTTTTCATAAATAAATCGTACCAATGCATTTAATTTTTTCAAGAAAATTAACCATTTCTGTCGGAATGTGGAAAAAAGTCCTCTAGCAGCCACATATGAAAGTAACAAAACTTCAAATATTATGATATTTGTAGCCCAAGAATAGCTCTTTTCAATTAGCCCAAGTTTGTTAAAATTGGCTCAGCCATTTCGATAATACAGGGTGTTTTTTCGCGGAAACATTTGAATACCCCCACCAGGTTATTTTCAGAGATACAGCGAAAATTGTCAAACAAAAAAGGTTCAGATTATCCTCAAAATTAAAGATCAGGTATTTTTGTTAGGTTAATATAGCAGAATTAAAGAATATGAGGAATATTTATAGACCAGACACTCGGTCGGTCGGGATGATGGGATGCAACGGCGACTTTCACATGTCGAACCCTGCCTTGGGTCTGATAGGATCGCCGGTACTGATCTTATAGTATAGTGGCTGATACATATGACGTGTTTGACTGGTATGGTCCAGCAGCGTTGCCAGATGGTCGGTATTTAGGGCAGGGAAGAAACTAGCGTTACCGTTGTCAAATGAATGTTGACTATGGAGGATGTACTAATTGTATATGGGCCTGTTTAGCTGATATGATCCATTTATTTTTTGTTATACAG